AGATTATTTAAAGCCAGAAAATATTTTTAGATTGTAAGAATTGTTTTTGGAGATCATAATGAATTAGTTATACAAGTCTTACTAATTAACCCATAACTGGGGAAAGAGGTGGATTCATATCTTTTCCAAGGGTAATTGTGTGTAAGGGAATATAAGGAATCCAACCCGAATTGGAACTCGGTTCTCCGATTAACAATTCTGAGCCTTATCAATTACACCACCCATACATTCAGGCTTACAGCACCTGGTATTTCTAAGGTGTGACCCATCTAGGTACTGACAAGGCTCGACATTAAACTTTAACTTTAGTGATCATACCGTGGAGAGGGAATCAACATGATATGGCTATGCATAAAAGTGGAGGTGGTAGAAGTGAAGATTATGAGGATAAGGAGTATAGATAATAATTTGAAGATTGTAGTGCTCAAGTAAGTATCTACATAGGGGCCCATTTTCTGAAGTGGCAGTCCTTGGGCAAAAAAGCTGTCAACCATCAATGACAGAAATTACCATCAGTTGACAATTTTTTTTCTTCCCAAATTCTTAGCTACCTTGTGTCCCAACTTTTTATTATAAATTTTAAATGAATGTAAAGAGAATATTACACCCAGGAAGTTTTTCTCCCAAAGAACTGTTACTTTGGGGAAACTGACTCCGGAGTGGACATTTCCCTGAACACTACAATCTTAACCTATTCAAGTCAAGAGTTAATTGTCTATCCTCCTTATCCTCATAATCTTCATTTTCTAACACTTCCTTTCACATTCATATCACAGACCTCGTTCATTAAAGCATTTTAACAGTAACCTCCTACATCAAGTGGCTCTCGAGGACCGTTTTGGCTGAACCTTAGTATAAAAAAAAAAAAAAAGCACCACTCCTTGATGATTGAATATAGTGAGGGAGCAGAGCAATTTTTTTACCCTCTATGCCATGAACACACAAAACATCCTTGTGCCACCAACATATATGCACACTTTAGTTCAGCCAGTTCAGGTCTTTACTGCTAGGACATGCACTGTCACTTCCACAAGAGGGAAATTTCACTCATACAGATTTTCTTCTTCCAAAAACTGCTACTTTGGGGAATGGATTCCTGTGTGGATACTTCCTTGAATGCTATAATCTTAACCTATTCCAATCTTACTAAGAGAGGTGTCATAATATCACAAATTTGAGCAGTTGAGCATCTTTTTCATGTGATTGGTTCATAGAAAAAGGGGATGCTAAAAGGATTTCTTTGAAGCATGCAAAGGTGGACTATATACACAAACTATTAAGTCATATTTGAATAAAGAATAAAAGAATAGAGATTTGGAGCTATAAGCATTTTTTTAGGGAAAAATCTAGAAGAACTTACATGGCAAGATGGATTTGACAATAATACATTTAAAAGCCAAGTATTTATATGAATGAATGAATGAATATCTTCATTAATCTTATTCAAAGAAAGGAATTTATTTCTTTTCTAGTGTCTTTAACTTTTCCTAAATTGCACTTGTTTATAATTAAACATCTATCCACTTAGGAGATTGTTTTAGGATGGAGATGTTTAATGATCCACCACATTTATTGATGGGGGAAGAGCTATATTTGTGCTACAGTTTAGATACAGCTCTTGGAAATTCTTTGTCCAAAATTTCAATTTAAACTGTCAAGTCAGTTCAGCTGAGAAAGATTATTTTGGAGAGTAGAATGTTTGTGTACAACTGAATGAAATTTGGATCAAGATTAGTGCTAAGAGGATAATCAGAAAATGTTCCTATTTAAAGAAAAAAAATTACTAAAAATTTAACTGGTGTAATATACACCCCTGGTCAAAATCTTAAGATCCGATACAAAAGGATAAGATAAAAAAAAAAAAAAAAAGTAAAAGAAAAAAAGAAAATACTGTTACTTTAATCAAAGTATATTTGTGAAACATTTACATTTAATTAGAAAATGTTTAATTGATAAGACCATGTAAATAAAAATAACAAATACAGAACAAATAAGTCACGACGACAATTTAATTCTCCGTATATCCTCCATATTTGCGAATTACTTTAAAAATTCGCATAAACTGCAGCACAAAGAGCATCCACAATTTCAAATTGTGATCCATATTTATAAACATCCTTTGCCATCTATCCCCAAACATTTTTGATTGGGTTTCGATCTGGAGAGCATTGTGGATTGCAGCATTGTCCCAATGGAAAATCCAGTTTTCTCCACATAGATGAGGGCCTTCAGTAATTAGCGATGCCTTTCTTAACACGTCAATGTAACTAGCAGCTTTTTTATAGCCTTTTACCTCCTGTAACTCAAGAGTTCCATTGTACGAAAATGAACCCCAGACCATAATTGATCCACCTTCACTGTGTGGTGTTAAGAAAATTTCTTTTGGGACATCTTTTGCATGCCAGTAATGCTGAAAACTGTCTGGGTCATCAAGATCGAATTTTTTCTCATCTGAAAACAACACTTTCTTCCATTTATCCATATTCCAAGTTTGATAATTGGAAGTAAATTGTAAATGGGAGGTTTTATGGCCAAGAAGGTGAGGCCTTTGCAGGCATTTCAAGTTCTTAAACCCTTCCTTATTTAAATGCTGTTGAATTGTTTGAGAGCTGCATTCAACATCTGTATTCACTTTTATCTGATTTGATGTTAGGTTTGAATCTCTCTTAACTTCTCGCTTAATGTGTGTCTAGTGATGGTGAGATTTTATTGGGGTGACTGCTTGACTTTTTAGAAGCATATACATCTGGATTTTTAATGAAGTTATCAATGACAGTTCTGCTACGGCCAATTTCATTTGCAATGGCTCATTGCGAAAGACCATATCTTTGAAGTTCAACAATCCTGCCCTGTTCGAACTTTGTTAAAATTTTACCCTTAGCCATTTTAAAATCTGAAATTTAATACTGGAAATGAGCTATGTAGATGTCTACATGCCTGATGATATGAGCACACTGACTAGTTCTAAACTTTTTGTTCAGTAATCCCCCCCCCCACATGGTCTTAACTTTATGACCAACCAACAAATTCTTTTTTCAATGTTTCTTTAAATTAATCAAAAGCTTAAAATTTTCACTTGTTTGTTGATAAACTGCATTTTCTAATTAAATGTAAACATTTCGCAAATATATTTTGATTATTAAAGTAACAGTATTTTATATATTTTTTTTAAAACCTTTTTGTATCTGGTCTTACGCTCTTGACCAGGGATGCATATGGTCACATTTATTTATATAAGGTGTAGGACTCTAGAATAATATAATAAAAGAAATTGCTAGAAAACTTTGCTTCCTAAGATAAGCAAAATCATTATGGTTCTAGCTAGAATCTAGATTTAGGTTTCAATAGTTGTTACTTAGTTTTTAAATTCTAGAGGGAAAGTTTAAGTAAATGCTAAATTTAGACCTTTCATTCACTCACTTAAGATAAAAAAAAAAAAAAAATTCAAAATTACTATGTATGTAAATTTGGTTCCTATTTGTCTAGACTTTGCGAAAAAGTCCTGTAATAATAATAATAATAAAAAAAAAAATGAATGCTAGTAAAACCAAAATCCTGAAAGTGTATTTTCTCAGTGATTAGCAAGCAAGTCTAAAAAGTAAAAACCTATATAAAAGTTTTCGAAGTAATTTTTGAAATATTAAAAAAAAAAAAAATTCTTAAAGTTTTTTTTTTTTTAAAAGTTTTGTTTACCTATGCTAAATTTCTTTTTTTTTTTTTTTAACTTACTGACCAGGACATTTTCATAAAATTAACTCACAAAAAGTTGATACATTTTCTAAGAACTTATTTGGACAATATCACATCAAACTTTGTGTAAAATTTTGGCATCAAGAGAAGCACTTGCAGTAGTACCATACATTCTTCAAGTGTGTACTAAAAATCGATACAGCGCTTCCACGAAAAGGGTATGCATATTTTGAAAATGGACTGCTAAACTTTTACGCTTATGAAGTTTTATGTTATATTATATAATCATTTTCATTAAAATTGCAACCCTTTTTTTGATCATCTAAATTTAAAATCATTAAAGTTAAGACATTAAGTGCGAGTTAATACCTAAATTTTGGTGAATAATTCTTGTATCTGATCACCACAAAATTTTAAAATATTGGTTTACGATAGAATAGATTTTACGAAAAAAACGTTATAATATTCTTTGAAATTTATTTTTTCTATGCAAAGCACAACATAACACTAACAGTCTACTACTCAAGGATCAACAGAGTAAACAAGTTGCCTCAAAAAAACATCAAATCTTTATTTATCCTAGCATTCAAATATAGATTAACGAACAATATGGACCGATTCAATTTTACTTCTTATTGCACGTTTAGCTTTATGTTTGTTTAGTAATTAAAGAAAAATATATAAAAAAAAAAATCTTTAATGTTTTAACTAACACGTGTGTGCGAGTTCATAAGAGAAACGTTGTTTTCTATGTAAACAAGAGAACTGATTTGTTGTTCCTGTTAGGATAAATTACAACACTAACAGTACTGAAAATATAGATCTGTTAATTATTTATACATAAAAAGTAAGCTATTGGCAACGCAAGATAGTCCAATCCAATTGTTTTTTATTTTTAATATAAAAAAAAAAGACAAACGTTTTGAAAAAAATCTAGATGACAAAATAAGTTACTGTTTACTTTTAGTCGCCATGTGAAATAAAACCAGATATTGTATTTTTTTTTTATTGATGTTGGTGGTTATACCAATATGTGGCACAAGGCCGAATAAAGCAACACAAGAATAAAGAGGAGATGATGAATATTGTAAATATAGTCTATTTAAGGAATAGGAAGCGTGAAAAAAAAAAAGTGTTAAAAGCTGTGATCGTCGTAGCTAGAGACCTAGAGGAAAACTGGAAATATGATTGTTACAAAAAGTAGTTATGTATGATTATTTAAGCAACATAAGTAAGTGTATCGATTTTTTTTATAAAAATGTGCAGCCTAAAAATAATAATAGAAGAATCATCAAACAAAAATAACTTACAGTTCCTCCCGGTCTTGGAGCAATACTGATTTGTTGTGGTGGTTGGGAAGGGTTGATACGAACTGTACCAACCCTACTATTTGTCGTTTTGCCTAAATTTCCAGCGTTGACGGTCAGTGCTCGGGCTGCTGGAATTTGATTGCTCACTGTAACGATTCTCATTTGGGTTGGTGTTGTGGTAAGGATCTGTGGTGGAACAACGGCCACACTTTGGTTTTGGGCCCTACTCACAGTGATGAGGTTAGAGTTATTCATGCTTTTGACGATATGAACATTCTGTTGGGGTACGGTGACCACTGTTGTAGTAGCTCGGGTTAAAGCATCCCTTGTGCATGTAGAATCTGTTTTGGAGACGTCCTTGATGAGGACGTGACCTCCGCTGGAATCTGTCTTTATTAGGGGTGTCGTCGTGGTCACTGACGTGTTCGGTGTTGTGGTGATTTTAGGCACACCTGTTTTATCTTGCCGCTGATCAATTTGCTCCCGTACTGTAACCCGACTGCCTACCTGTAGGGATTTAGCTTGCTGGACAGTGATAGGGGGTACCGCTAATGGTTTTCGTTCAGCTGCAATGCTTGCTAAATTGTACATAGCACTACTTGCAGTATGGTTGCCTTGTTTTGCAGTTACACCAGTTGAGACTACGGGTGCATTTTGGGTAACAATACAGTTACTGTCGGTAGTGGCCACATGGGCAGGCTGAGGTTGTCCAGGTCCAAGAGGTCTAGTCAGTGCATGGACATAGGTCACATTTTGACTCTGAGTGTTAGAGTTATTCGTAGACACAGCAGAAGATGTTGTTAGGATAGTACCCTGGTTTATAATTCTGATAGTTGGAGTGTTTCCTAATTTTCCTCCACCATTTGTTGGAACTTGCATGGCTGTATTTGGAGTATTTATACCCAGTAAGGACACACCACTACTAGTTCCAGGAGTGGTTGTTGTCGTTCCTGTAACATTAGCTGGGGACACCGTACTGATTATGCTACCGGTAGCTGTCGTTGTAGCTGGAGTTGAGCTAAGAATCGAACTGATGCCAATGATTTGGGCATCCATTGGTGCTTTGGCGAGCGATTGTGTGTTTTTGTTGACTTGGGTCCCGCCCGCAGTGACCAGAGAGATGCCCTTCTGTCCTTGACTAACTGCTTGGATGGACGCAAAAGGGCTACTTACAGTCGACGATGTAGGTTGTAATGGAGATAGTCCTGACGCAACTGCCATCACGGTGGCCGTAGTGGTACCTCCGATGCCAATATTTGTTCCGACACACGGTGACGTGCCAGTGTTGTTGATATGATTGGTACCAGTAGCACTGGTGGTACCGATGCCACAGCCAACCTTGCTACTGTTGTTGGAAGCATTACCAACATTATTACTGCCATCGTTGTTGGTATTCGTGTTTCCACTACAGTCCGAAGTCGCGGGAGCGCTTATAGGAGTCACAACGCTGTCTGTGACATCTTGGGACGATTCTTTGTGAGTAGGCGAGGCCAGCCTCGACTCAAGAGACCCAACTAAGGCACTTACTTCGTTTTCATCCACCTCCGACGATAATAACTCCTCGATTGAGTTTGTAGCCGCCATTTCGTTTACCTCGTCGATGGCCGACTAAAGAGCGCATGCGTGCCGACCGGGTTGAACCCTGGGATTGTGTATAAAAGCAAGCAGCGCCACCTCACGGCAAAGCAGAGTAATACATTGTCGCCATCTTGTGTGTACCAAGCGACTTAAGCTGGCAATAATAGTGAGGTAGGAAAAACCAAGCGAAAAAAACGCTTAGCCGCTAACGCTGAATCCCGTCTGTGTGTAATCCACCGTCATCCTGTTCCTGTGTGCGAAATCTTACTTGCAAACCGCCATAGAAACATGAGTGGAGGAGGCATCCCGTATCTGGGTAGCAAGATAAGCCTCATTTCGAAGGCTGAGATTCGCTATGAGGGCATTCTGTACACTATCGACCCACACGAGTCCACTGTTGCTCTAGCGAAAGGTATCCGCAATTGTTTCAATCATTATTCTTTATTAGTAAATACTAGCATATTCTACTCACTAGCTCTGTTCTGTTTTATTCTATAATTTAAACTTCCCTGCTGCTCCTAAAAAGGGCTTATCTTTTTGCCCTTTTGAAAAAAAAATCACGCTTTCTTTAGTTTTTCTTCTTCCCCCTTCTTGGAGATTACCTACCCTCTTTTCTTCAAGTTTACCACTGGACACCTGCAATTCTAACGCTGGAATAACTTAAAATTTATTCTTACACGTTGTTTCCTTCCTGCAGGAGAGAACAATGTTTGTCTTTAGTTGTATTGCTTTCAGTTTTAACATTTTTTCCTTCTGTTAAACATAAGTATAAAAACTTTGCGCTGAAAGTTTTGATAAAAAGAAAGTATGTTGACTGTCAACTTTCCTACAGGAAGCTCAATGTAATCTATACGTTTTGAGTCCCCCTTTTCGTTTGTTAAATTTATTTCTCTAATAAAATTGTTTTGACTTGTTGTTATAGCAGATAAATATTTTTAAAGGAACCCCTGTTCGTGTTTTCCGCTGACTTATGGCGTATATTTCCGTAGCCCATTTTTTTGTTTGTTTTTAATTTCCTTTTTTTTAGTTTAAGTTTAGTTTTGAACTGGTTTTTCTCACTAAATATAGAATGTTTCTTTAACTTAACAAGCTCGTCGTCTTTATACTTTTTTTTTTTTTTTATATAAAGGTGTCATACCGTTTGTAGCCACAGTTTCGTATTGGCTTGAATTGTTTAGTTGGCGCTCTTTTTCTTTAATCTTTTATTAATATTTCTAGTATACTTTTCACATATAATAATAAAAACAAAACTTACATTATCTTATTTCTTCCTTACTTTTCCTATTAGACTTAAACCCTCGCTAACTCCTTACGCCATCTTCACACATCACATGTTATTATTTTTGTTTTTTTTCTTTTGTTCACAAATTCAAGTAGTTTCATATACTTGAAAAACAGACTATATTTTAAATATTTTTTTAACGCCTAAAAATCCCGTATTATGTTACACAAGGTCTTATTTGCTTTGCAAAATTCGCACTTCCTATTTAGCATTCTCTCTTCCCCTTTATTTTTGTCGCTAGTTTCGTAAAAGAACAAAAAAAACCTTCATGTCCCACATTATTCGCTTTTCTTATTGTAACTCAGTATTTCAGAGAACGTAAAAATTTTTATTTATACACTTAACTATCCAATATGTTTACATTACAAGCATATTGAAAGTATCTTAAACCTTAAAAAATAAAAAAATCTGGTGACCAACCAAATATGACCCCCCCCACCACCACTTCCCAACCATTTGTTCTAACTACAACTGGCATTAGTCATAAGATTTTTTTCTAAAACTTCGCGGCATTTCTAAATTTTTAGAATTATCAAAGTTTAAACAACCCTACCAGCTGTTCAGATGACGATTTACAAATGTTTGTTTATTCAAATATGTTTCAGACTTCAAAATTGAAGTCTGAAATATTTAAAACTACATGAATTCTTGTATAATCAATGTCTATTACTGACCAGTAAACAGAAAAATCCAACGGTGACATGTCGGAGTCATTAACAGAATTTGTAAATTTAATTCAGCAATATCTTAGTCTAATTTACATTCTGGTATTTCTATTAGTTCTTTGCCACTTTTTCTCAAGTTTAAACTAATACTTGAAATATTGCATATGGGTTAGGTAAAACCATTTTTCTTTATCAGCTACAATTAACTTAAGACCCGAACCATTTCAAATGAAATTGTCTGCTCGTATTTTAACTGGAATATTAATGTTGATGATTTTTTTTTTTTTCTAGTTAGATCTTTTGGTACTGAAGATCGTCCAACTGACCGTCCTGTAGCTCCAAGAGATGAAGTATTTGAATACATCATATTCCGAGGCAGTGACATTAAAGATATTCATGTTTGCCAGCCTCCTAAACCCCAACCTCTGCAAGGACTACCACAAGATCCTGCCATTGTCAAGGTTTGTATATACCTTAAAAAAAAAAAAATGCTTTACGACTTTATTGGAATTTTTTATTTATCACTTTATTTTCACAAAACTAACTTTATATTTTATTTTTGCTGTAGTTTCAGCTTTTGTTTTAAGATTTGTTGTAATTTCTTACAACCTCTGCATTTGTAATCTAGGATGTCCGAGTACAAGGTGTCAGAAATACCTCCTACATGATGGTAAGACATTAGCTATATGAAAACACTATTGCCACTAATGTCCTATATGTGAGGTATTTCTGCTGCCCACTGTATATTTGAACAGCAATTCTCTTAGATGTGCTTCCTCGAATATAATAGACAATATTTTTGTAAGATACAGACCTAACCTGAACCTAACTTTGAATTTACTTGGTGTCTTGGTCATTTGGAAGCAAAACAAAACTCCCAAGAATTAGTTACTTGCACAACACAGGAAACAAAACACTTTATAAACTAAGATCCCTTTGTAAATAGCTAAAGAGTTAGTGTTTTGGACAATAAACACCATGAGGCAACTCCTTACTCACTTAACCATAAAATTCTAAGGACACACTGTGTGTGTGTGTGTGGGGGGGGCCTTATAATTATGTAACCTAAGACTGGTACTTTACTAGAATAACTAATATCTAATATTCAGCTTTACTTGACTGAAATCTTAAGACTTTTGAATTCTTCTTGTGCAGTCATCCCAGCCTGTGACAACCACTTCCTCTTATCCCTTACAACAACAGCAACAACCTCAGCAGCAGCATGGCTATGGAGGACAATCTTACCAACCATTTGGAGGAGCCCAACTTTATGGCGGTCAGTATGGTGGTCACCAATCCTATCATGGTAGTAGTCACTCTCAGTCTGTCGCAGGTAATGTTGTTTGCAACAGCTTGCTCTCACCCCCACTACTTAAGTTAGGTTAAAATGTAATAGATCATGTAGCACTTGTCTTTGCATGTTAAATTGTTGGTTTTCAATAGTTTCACTTAGTTTTCATTTTTAAGCTCAAAGATACTAATTGTTTGAATAGAATTCCTTATCAATAGGAACTTTAGAAATTGACAATTTTTTTTTTTTTTTTTTAAGGTCTAATATGCAACTATTTTCAATACCTGCATATTATGCATGTGCTTCTGTTTGCTTTATTTGTTGCATGTTTTCTGTATCTCTTGAGTGAACTACTGACTAGCTTAGCTTTTTTTTTTTTTTTTTTTTTTTTTAATACAAACTTCAAATGCTTACTATCCAATTAACTCTCTAAGCTTGTCTTGATAAAAATCTTCCTATTTAAGTTTGGAATACTGGTATTTAATGAGGTATTTTGTAGCTTAAGAATAGGTAAAGCGGTTTTGATTTAATTGTAGTTAACATTTACATTTGATACTGTAGATTTTGAAAAGTAAAAAAATTTGGCACAGCTTAAAAATTGCTATCTTCCTTCTGCACCCAAACTCAGTTGATTTCATACAGCTTAAACTCTTACCATTTATGTGGATGGAATATTAATCACCCAATGGATAAAATTAAAGTTGTGGGGCCGGCTCTTGGTTTTTATCAGGTTCACTCATTCGCAGTCATGGCCGTATGACAACCATTGACCAAGGTGTGCAGGTAGATGCCCAGCAGATAAGGAAATCTGGTAAAGTGATTTCCTTGGTTATTTATTTTCTTTAAATAACAAAAACTAATTCAACTGTCTTCCATCTGCTTTATGAACATTTTTAACATAACTATCACCTTGTACAACTTAGAACTGCTTTAGCACTTCAGAATTTATACTTGACATTGAATTTTCCTTATGTACTAGCTCTGTTTGCATTTTTCACATAATCTTTCATACTTGAGTGTTGCAATTTAGTTCTGTATTACTAAATAACTAATAACTAAAAATCTTAAAAGGTAAGTTTGGATTAACCTGTCATGTCTATCATGACTTAACACTGCATGTTTTTATGAATGTCATTTACTTAGTATGAAATGGTGGTGACTAGTTAAACATAACTACAGGTGAGTTAAGAGTAGCAAAAGTAAAGTTTATTTTATATATGCCTAATAAAAAGGCTTAAACTTCATTTGGCCAAGCATAGTTCAATATCCCAGCATTTTAAAGGAACACTCGTGCCCACAGAGATTAGACAGATATTAGTTGAAAATACATCTATATTACTTAAAACCGATAAGCAAAAACTAAAAATCCTTGGAGCCCTTTATCTAAGAATTAAAGCCCAAAATAAGTCTCCTATGAATAGCAAGTCCTCAAATGCTTTTTTAAAAAAAAAAAAAAAAAATGTTACTTCACTTATACTGGGCAGGGGGAAACCCCCCAAAAACATGTTCTTTCAACTTTGAAATCTAGAACACTGCATAAGCAGTAAAAATGAACAGTTGAAATTGAATTTACAGAAACCTACATTTTTCTTCAATTTTCTAAGGTTAAGAAATTAATCCATGAACTTGAAAGGATCACAACAAACTAATTGACATTTTGTTTAAATTATTTAACCAAACTAGTTTGAATAAAAATATACTGCATATATAGTGTCCCACTCTCCTTTTAACTGCTAAAAAAAAATCAAATCCTTGAAGTAAATTGCTTGTTATTTTAGCCACAGAATGGAGATCTAAATTCTTAAAGTGACCTCCAAAACTTGTGTAAAATATAGTATTTCTTTACTTCTAATTGCAGGTTCTCGGGGTCCTACACCACCACCCAGTCGTAAGTCTCCAACCTCTGATCAAGGGACCCAAATCAATACTGATGATGGGAAAGGCTATTCAACTAAAGGACAGCAGCAGCAGCAACAACTGTCACCAGTTGACCGTCGTGACCAGCGCAAAAATCAAAGGGATCAGCAGGCTAACCGTACCACAACTTTTACCCGTGGAAGGGGTGGAAGAGGAGGTATGTTGCCAACAAGGAAAATTTACTTGGTTTGCTGTAGTAAAATAATTTTCTTGGGTAAACTGATAAGTTGTTCATTTTGAGTATTCCATGATTTGTGCCATAGTTCATTGAAGGATCATTTGATCAATTCTTCTAAAAATAACAAAAATACCTTCAACCTTAGGTTTGATTTTGACTGGGTAGTGGCATGATTCCAAATCTACCTGAGCAAAAAAAAAAAAAGAACTTAAATGCTTTTCGAACTTTTCTCATATTTTACTTTGCAAAGCCCTCATTCTAAGATCTAATGCAGGTGTTTCCCGAGGAAGAACTCGTGGAGTTGCCCGTGGGGTTTCCCGTGGAAGAGGTGGTGGCAGACAGCCTTCAGAGCCACTTAAGTTTGAAAATGATTATGACTTTGAAAGTGCAAATGCAGAGTTTGAAGAAATGGAAAAAGAGCTGAAGAAATTAACTCTAAGTAAGTAGTTTGTATTGTTGTTGTTTGTATGTCTTTTTTAATTTCATTTAAGTATTTATATGGAAACTGCATACCTTGGATTTGACTGTTGTTCAGAGATTAGTTATCATTTCAGCTGAAAAGAATGCCAATGTTGTGGTAAATGGAGAGAAACCAGCAGAAAATGTAGATGAAGGTGAAGAAGCTGAAGTTGATGATGTAAAGAAGGAAGAGAAAAAAGATGAAGAAATAGTTTACTATGATAAAGCTAAATCCTTCTTTGACAATATTAGCTGTGAAGCCACAGAGCGTGAACAGGGGTAAGTAGTTGTATCTGCTCTTTACTTTGTACTAGTATAATTTATTTCTGTAATACATTACACTTAAATGTAAACTGTTAATACATATACTCACTTAACTCTAGTCAGTTCTAACTTACCAAGTTTTTTTTTTTTTTTTTTTTTCTCCTCTTGACTTAAAACCTTTTCTTTGCTTACATAAAAGTAAATGATTCTTTTTAAGTTTAAACTTTATTCTAATAAGCTATGGATACATTTCACTCTTCACTTTGCATTTTGACAATAGCTCATTAACATTACAATCTCCTTATGTTGTAGTCGTGTAAATAGGACGAGTTGGAGGGAAGAACGGAAACTCAATGCTGAAACATTTGGAGTTTCAGAACGATACAGAGGTCGAGGTAGAGGTTTCAGAGGAAGAGGTGGCTTCAGGGGACGAAGGGGTAGAGGTGGTAAGTTGACTTAAATCATCAAAGCTGATTTTGCAAAAAAAGCTTTAAAGTCATTTTCTCCTGTATATTAATTACAGGAGTGGTTTAAATATATAACTACTCCTGTGAAAGATGTCTTAACACTTTAGATTGCCAAATCTTTATTTGCTTCAAAATGAATAATTTTTAATCTGTTTGCTTTTTCAAATCTTTACTAGTCGTACTAAAGTTTGTATGTTTCTTAAATGATTTGGTATCTAAACTTGTTATATATAGGTAGAGGTGCTAACCGTGGTGGAAACTACAGAGGAAATTACCGGGGCAATATCCGACGAAATTCCGGAAATGCTGGATGGGGTGACTCTGGATGGGGTGACAATCAACAAAATAATGAAGCAAACACAAATGGAGAAAAAGAGCCTATGGGCAAGGTGAGTTTGAGCTTCACTCTACATGGATGTGCTAACAAAATTTACCAACCACTTGGCTGGTTAGTCAATAAATGCCAGATGTTTCCAAGGGAAACGCTTAGTATTACAATACAGATTTAATTTTTTTTTTTTTTTTTTTTTTTTCCCCCTTCTAAGCTAATTTGAAATGCATGATTACTGAGGAAAAATTTGTACATTAGAGAAGTCTTTCAATGCTTTAGTATAAGGCAAACTTGTGTAATCCTTAATGGTTATATTACTTTGCAAAAACTTTAATTTAATTTTTTTTTTTTTTTTTTTTTTGCAGAGGCCCATTGTTGCTTTCACCTAGTCATCTTGGTAACAAAACCATTGGACATCGAAGTAGTCACTTGAGAATCCTTTCCAACTCATTGCCACCATTTTTGTTTGGAGCTAAAGCAAGGGACAGGCTGTTAAGTACCACCTAAAACTGGCTCTATCCAGAAGGACAGAACCTAACGGATGTTTACCCTCACTTGGGTGGAAACAGCTTTTCAATGACCATATGCAATAAGTCTGGTAACTTCACAAGATTGTCCCACATCCCCCCCCTCCACAAAAATAAATTTAATTTTTTTATACAAGTCCCTGCAAAAACTTTAAGAAAAAAAAAAAACCAAAACAATGTTGGCATTGCAGGAAAATACCTGCTAGTAGAAGAAAGTTGTGTAAATAGACCGGCCATTTTGTGTGTGTATATAGCAGGCAAGTTTAATAAAAATAAAAAGAATTACTAAGGCCAGAGACTGTAACTAGTAAATGGATGGCATTTTTGGAAAGATGATCTCCACTTCCTGATCAACCCACTACTCTAGTCCTCTTCCATGTGCTGGACTATCACATAGGCTTTTTTTTTTTTTTTTTTTTTTTTTTCTCCTAAATTATATATCAATCTGTCATTTGGTAAAGACATTTTGGAATTCTGGGAATGTACTCAGATTTACTTGGATCCAGTAAATTATAAGGAAAGGAGGTGAGAGACTTCTTTGAGAGGGGTTTAATTTATCTGAAAGATAATGCATTGGTGTTTACTTGTCTTATTTCAAATATTGAAATTTACAATGCTTGAAGAATTGATCTAATAACACCTTAGCATGTTTTCTTTAAAATTTTAGTATTTATGTGTTACGATAGATCTTCATGCTTTTAAATATTTTTTTTTCTTTTTAAACAAAGGAGCCCTTGTTCTCCCTCTTCTAAAAGAAATTGGTTTCACTATAATTCATTGACAATGGTACAAAAATTTTACTGGGTTCAAATGCATCTGGAAAGGTGAGCATATCTACCTTCCAATCACACTTGTGTTCAAGTGGCCTTAGGGTTTTTTCTCTCTCCCCTCAGCTATTACAATAGCTACCAAGCTGGTAGTAAGTCTTTCCCAGGGGAACACCTTTCTTACGGGATCTCACTGTAACAGTGATAGGCTAGGTGGTGGGTTACCGGAAGGAGGACTTTAAATACTTTATAAATTTTTTTTTTTTTTTTTTTTTTTATTACTAAAATAAAGTGGAGAAATGGAATGCAAAAGACCTAAAGCTTTTTTAAAAAAAACTTTTTTTTCACTCCTAAAAATCCAGTTGCTACTGGCCTCACAAAAAAAAAAAAATCTGACATCCAAAAGAAAAATGACTAGTTGCAGTTCATTTTGGCAGGTCTGTGGATGAAATATTTGCCTAAAAGAAAACCACTACACTGTTAACATATTACACAACCTTAAGTCCTTAATTAAAAGACGTTTGCAGAATATTTACTGTGTTGTTTTTATTTTAATATCAAGTTTGTTGAAAAGAAAACTAATACTTACTATTTTATGTTTTAATTATTTTTTAATGTATTACTTACTGATTGGGAATTATTGCTCTTGGAACCTAAACATGACTGGTTTAATTGTAAATGAGTTTTATTTACTACTTAATTTTGAGTTGAATGTTACTCTTACTAAAGAATTCATAGTAACCTTCAGTTAAAGAAACTTGATTTCTCTTCAATAAATTAGAACTGAGCATGTGTTCTTATAAAACTGGGCAGATATCTAAACTAATGACTTCAGTTACTAATGCTTAAGTGTTTTTTCTCTTTATTTTTATTTTTTTTTTTTTTTTTTTAATTAAAACAGACATGGCATGATTCCACAGGAATCATTTTGCATTTACATTCCTGTGTCTATCAATAGCTGTCCAACAGCTATGTTCAGGGGCGGGGGGAATTTGAATTTCTTCTGATTTTTCTGATTCTTTTCCTTTTCTCTTGGAAAGTTGTTAGAGCCCTTTCTACAAAATGGTAAGTACAGCTAGACTGATAGTTGATGTACCTCCTTACTGAAGACTAATTGCTTATTAAAGGTGGTTTTGTTGTTTACATACTATGGAAGTATTTTCAGACTGTCTTCATCTTTATTGCCATATTCACATTTCAGTTATTGTATGCTCTGGCCTTCTTCAGATGATTGGAATTTTTGCCTACCTGGGTAGCTTGTTCTAGTGCCTAGTCTTTCAGATGTCTCGATTATCTCCCTTTTAATTCTACTCTTTTAGTTCAACACTGCAATAACCAGGTATTGAACTTGCAGCTCATTGGATCACTGGGTTCAACCAATGCTTTTATCCACTGAAAGAGGCATGGCAAGTTGAACTGGTCCAATCTACCCAGTGGACAAAATAAAGGGTTGATATTGAAATTCCAATCACCTGAAACATACATCAGTAAACAATGTAAATTTCTCATCTCAAATAGATACTATAGAAGTAGTCAAGAAAAGCAGGCTTATCTGAGACTTTAAAAATGGCTAATTATACAATTACAGTTGGTATAAAAATTTTCTGCATATTTAACTTTAGATTAAATTGTTTGGCAGAGAATTCAATTTGATAAGTCATCTCACCAACTTTATATATATATATATACACACACACAGTTCAGCCAGTGAACTTTGAATTTTTTTTTTTTAAAAATACACTGGTCTACAGGGATTGAGTTTATTCCTATTATTTAAACTAGGAAAGTCTTGAATGTGCATTTTCTAGCATCATTTTAAGAAGGCTAGATAACTTAAACAAGTCACCAGACGAAAGATCTTTTCTTTTCTCTTTTTTTTTATTATTTACTTATATTAATCTACTGCTATTAAAGTGACTATTCTTCTCTTCTATGGCTGAAATAATTTTTGATATCTATTCTATCCAATTTGTAATAAAGTACAGGGGTGATTGAAAAGTAACTCTCTATTTTATGTATGATAGACTTGAAATTTATTGCTTGAAAATAAAGCAAATTGTGGCACAAGGCCACAAAAAGAAAAGAATGGGTTGAGGCTGGTGGTCACTCTTATACCTAGCTAATATTATGTATGATAGATTTTCACCCATCTTGTAAAAATTATACTTATGACTGGAGAATCCGTCATATAAAATAGTTACTTTTCAATCACTCTGTACAAATGTTTAATTGCCATGATATAAAATCAAGCAGGTATAGAAATTTAAATATCTGGGAAGTGTTTTAACAGGATAGAAGCTGCTACACTGAAATCTGAAGACTTGGGATGGCCAAAGACTCATTCCAAAAGCTAAGGAGGGTACTCTAAGAGACAAATCTTTTGTTACAAGCAAAGGAAAGCGTACAAGATGGACATCAGTATGCTTGATTAGAATTGTACCTAAACCTGATGAAAGTGAATCTATGCTTTTTTTTTTTTTTTTTTTTTTTTCTTTAGAATTAAAAATATTTAACACTGATTTATTTACAATAATAATTAGAACATTCTAAAAACTAATGCACAGCAATATTTCTCATTTACCAATTTATAAAGAAATAAATGTGAAAACATTCACAATTTTATAAAATTCAAATCAATTGGCAGTTAGCTGAAGTTCTGTGAACCCTTCTAATAAACACTATAATAAAGGTGTTGTTTTTCTTTCTTGTCCATTTTCAAGAACCAATACATGTTGCTGAAGAGTGAAGATAGTTTTTAGTTTTCTCATGACATTGCTTTTTATTATAACTATCTTTTTGGCGCTCTGCATTTTTTTTTTTTTTTTTTTTTTTTTTTAAATGCTCATGGGGTCCGTTTGCACACACCCCTGATGAGTAGATGGAGTGCGTGCTAGAGAGGGTCTGTCCGGAATTGGAATGTAGAAGATAACACCAACTAAGTGACAAATTTTATGTTTGTCTTTATATGTATATATACACATACACAGACTTTAATTTTGTTTGTAGAAACTTGTTACATTTTTGGCTGCAGTGTAGATGACTCCTCATCTAGTTCTCTCAATAACATTTGCTTTACTGCCACCAGTTCAAACATCTGTAACTAAGATCCACCGGTTTCTGTGTAGGGGGTCAAATTATTCATTCCATTCAAGCAGCTTCTTCCCTAAAAACCACTACTTTGTGGAACACTCCATAGTAGTGAGCAAAGAAGCATCCACTATCTTAACCTTTTTTAAGTCTAATCAAGCATTTTCTACTTTTAGTAACCCTCTACATTGAGTGGCTCTTGGACATTGTATTGTAAAGGAAATGTATATTCAGTTTCTAGCATTGGAAACTTTTCAAGTTAGCCATATTTCTATAATAGATAAGACTTAAACTTTTTGGTTATTGGTTTATTTTTATGCTTGCTGTGACTGATGCTCTCATTTCTAAGGTTATGATTACCAAGGTCTATAAAAATTTAAATTTGAAAATTTATTAATAAAATATTACTATAGAATATATATGCAGGGATTGCTATCCCTTTGGGCTTTTGTACACTCAGAGTAGCTGTAATTTGAGCTTAGATCCATTTCTCCTTACAGGAGGCAGTGCTTTGTGACCCTATCTTATAACATTTTTTTTTTTTTTTTTTTTTTTAACCTATGAAAAATATTTGTTTTGTTTTTTTTTTTTTTTTTTTTTTTATACTATTCTGGTGGGAGTATTTGTCTTTTTTTTTTTTTTTTTTCTCTCTCTCTAAATCTGTGAATTTGTTTTGCCTTTGGTGCAGCTTACAAACAAACCTATGGTATTGTTTTCCTATGGAAATATATCTTCACATATAGAAAATATCTCCAGGAAATCCCTGGACCCAATGTTTCCCATTTGTAGCATATTTTCTCAATAGTGACATAGATAAATCTGGCCTGCTCAAATCTGGAATCTTAAATATAGCTTCTCCAGAGACTCAAGAATCTCCTGCAGACTCGATTATCATTAGGAATTATTACACATAAGACACTTTTCTTTTTCTTCATCTCCATTTAACTCAGCTTCTTGTGTAGATGTGTTATATTTTCTCTGTGTGGGACAGGTTTAAATATGTATATATAGTTTTGTATAATAGCATAAAACTCTCTTTGAGAACAAAGCATGTTTGTCATTACTTTTCCTTTCAGCCATTCTGTTCCATCTGTGAAGTATGATGTTATTATATCATGGATATAATAATGTCAATAAAGGAGGAAATGCAAATGAGCGAATATTCCTTTCTGCCATACCTCACCCATTTCCCCCAGCCACTTTCTTTTTTATCTATTATCTAAACTTTTTCATATTTTCATCCAGATAATTTTGTTTTAAGTTTTATTGCTCCAGATCAAATACTCAAAATATAAATAACCCCATATTTAATATATCACACAATTTATAAATATAAGCCAAAATTATTCATACCAGTCAAATTCCAGGGTTAATTATTTCAATTTTATTGAATTCTTTCCAATTTGAATTTTGCAATGAAGTAAACATTTTCTATGCAACACTTTAAAGCAAGATAGTTCTGCATAATTAGATAATTACTATCTAAGCTACAAATTTATTTTTTAGTTAGGGAAGATTACTATTGATTTGAGATTATATATATATATATATATATATATATATATATAAGCTCTTGAAAAATATATTTCAATTGAGCACTGTTGAGAGATAAGCTGGTTCTATAAACAACAGCCAACTGTGCTAATGCAAAGCTCTTCAGTAAAATGAGTTGGAGCCCTCTGACTGGTGTTTGTTTACATTTGTAAAAACAATATGCTAGAATTAGCTGTTTCTCTCTGCTGAATGATGATAGGTCAGTGGTAGAAACTCTGATACCAAATCAGTTCGATATCGGTCTTGGCTTGAAACATTCAGATATCTAGTTGCACTGAGGAGCTGCGATATAGCAAAACAATACTGTCTGTGAATAACGTGTGTGTGTGTGTATTGAAAATCAGGTTTAAGAAAGCATTAAGATTTGCTATATTTGAAATAAGCAGAAAAGAAATATTTTTTTTAAGTTTTTCACTCCCAGGCAATAAAACCACTCAGACACAAGAGGTTGCTGATTGTGAAAGTATAAGAAAAACATTATTAAGGAGTGAGAACAATAAAAGAGGAATCAACGAGATGATATATAATGATTAACACTGCATTTAATTCTTTAAAGATCTAAGTTGGCTGGAATACGAGAAGTCAGAATAAAGTTTTAATGGTGAGATGTGTGAGAAAAGAAACTGTTAGCAAAAATCTTATGGTTACATAGCCAATTCAACTGTAAATTGTTGAGACCTTGCTAATCTATAATCTAATCATAAAGTCTAGGTACTATAGAACAATTAACATAAAAGTATTTACAAAAAAAGGCACAGGGAAGCTACATTATGATGGTAGGAAAATAATTGAAGCTGGGATGCCAGGTCAGGACCAATAACATTGTGGAGTCTTTGGATTTTATCAAGAATCTCTAAAAATATGGCAGAAGCACCAGACCAAATGTAGCAACAATATCTGAAGCATGGACAAATGCTAAACTTAGTATTTATCAATCCACCCACGAGGATAGAATGTGGCACAAGGCCAGTTTAATGTGGGTATAACCGAGCCTGTAGGCTTGGCCAAAAATATAGCCTTTTTGAACCCACCCAGACGAGTTCAGGCCCTGTCTACCTCCCCAAACGAAACCTTGCCCTTCGTCAAAGCTTCGTCTGGGTTCCTCTCTGCTAATGCAGAGAGTTCGACAGACGCCGACTTGGAAGCTCACAAAGGCAGCGATTTCAACATTGTCAGATGTCTGAGTCCTCTCTTTTTGAATATTTGTAAAAACTGAGAGATAAAAATTAAATGCTTTATAATTATTTTCTGTTTTATTTATTTGTTTTTAATTTATTTTACCTCGTTTTTATGGCTACATTCATAAACCATAAATACTTGATATTTGTATGTGGAGTTGATATTTGGTTTCTTTAATCACTGCATGTGTAAAGACTATTTTTTTGAGAAATTAAAAAAAAAAACATTCATATTATGTGTTTGAAATCCAAGGGCAGACAACTGACTTTTCTAGTTAAAAAGCACCGACCTTGAGAATTGTTCACTAAGCGCCAAGCGGCGGTCGTAATAGCACAATCATAATTTTTCTTAGAAGCTGTAGGACATCATGGCTCTTCGTTCCACCTTCAATCTCTTCCAGAAAAATACTCCTTCCCTGGCCGCCGCTAATAGATTGGTGTGAGTAGAAATTTTTGAAAACATTTTTCATTTAAAATAATATAATATATGAATAATAATTGGCTAAAGTTTATCCGCTGAACAGTTTCTCTTTAAATATTTTTGGTTTCTTATGTTTTCCGCCTCTAACCAAAAAGGCCGGTTCGTTAAACCTTGCTAATTTTTTGTTGAAACAAAAGCGGAAAGCCGGATCCGCATTAGTTTCTTAAAAAAACTAAAAAAAAAGGAAGAGTCATCACGTAGGACTCAAGGAGCGTCTTTTTATTCATACTGTTTTATTTTTTAATTATATATTTTCCATTGGAGAATTTATTAATTTTCATTACATAAGTTTAAAAGAAAAAAAAATTAAATAACCCTTCATAAGAATCTCCTTGAGATTATTTCTCAAAGCCAAAGGTCTACCTTGACATTGTTAGCAGCGACCTTAACATGACTTCTGCTATAAATTTTGCTTTCTTTCTTACTAGCTAACAGAAAAAAAAAAACACATTTTGAGATAGAAGTATCTTATCCAAATACTTAAAACAAAGAAACTTATTTACGAACTAAAATAAAACTTTTTACTCCTAAACTTAAATTCATGGACTTTAATTGTTTTTTTTTTTTTTTTTTGTTTCTTACTTTTACATACGTCGTAAAAATAAAGGGAATTAAACTTTAAATTTACTGTTTCAGTCTTAAGTTTGGAAATATCTGATATAAAATTAAAAAAAAATCTATAGAGTAATCAATTTTGACATTGAATTCTATTTTTGTCTTTTAAAATTTAAAATTAACTAATTCGGAAACTATTCTTCTAATGCTCCCCCCTCTTAAAGTTTGCTTTTATTTTTAGTAGAACATTGAATAATTAAAAAGTAAAACAGCACTTTAAAGTCTTAACAAAACGTACAATAATAGCATCGGCACTCGTAAGAAGAATGAAGACATTTTCCTGACTGTTCAATTTCCGAATCCTTTAAAAAAAAAAAAAACGTCTGGAACCATATCTTGATCCCTAGACAAATCCGCGGACAGCAGCTGTTTATTTTATTTTCCCACTTTTTTTTTTTTTTTTTTAAATCTTCATCATACAATATACTTCCATAAATTAAGTATTTTACTTTGTCAGGCACAAGGTAAAAAATGTGAGTCTCTAACGGTTTGCTCGCGAGTATAATCGGATTTGTTGTTACCCCACGTTAAGACGAGTTGGTGTAAAGAAAAAAAAAGTGTGCGTATTACGATCTCATTAATGGCTGATCCCCCCCCCCCGCCACCGGAATAACCTTGAATAGCACGTACCACGAAGAAGAAAAAAAAGAAAGCGAATTAATATTTTCAAATTTAATTTAATACTGGAGTTTGTGTCTTTATTACACTTTGGCGTAGATATAGATATATTTTTCCCGGAAGTGACAATGCCCCCAACTCAAGTTTCAGTTTACTTTATTATTATTGTTTTAGAAATTTTATTTCATTTACCCAGGAAGATATTATTCCGAAATCAACTCTTCTCAATTTTAAATTAATCCGAATGACAAGAAGTGTGATATGACATCACGTTCTCTCTTTGAATAATGAACCTGAATTGAACTTTTAAGTAATTTTTTTACCTATTACTTTCAAAATCATACAAGTATTGATGTCGTAGATCCCCTAACTGCGCAACACTGGGGCCGAGATATCCCAGTCGAAAATAGCACTGATGAGAAGTTTTACTCAACAGGTCAACAAACCAAAAGAAAATCAATAAGCAATCTCTAAAACTATTTTTAGACTGGAGCCTGTACAGTGTAGTACTAGTAATAGTCGACGTTAATAACTTGTGTGCTTGTCATTAAAATAAAAAAAAATCGTTTTTTTTTACTCGGTTTCTTCGTATGATAAAAAATTTCGAAAATAAGTCTATAGACTCATATTGGTAAACTTCGCAGCTGTGACTTGCTTCTTGATAGTACTGTACTATTGGTACACAAAGACGAAAAGTGTGGATAACTTTTCTTTTTTTTTTTTTAAATTTTCAAATTGGAACTTTGATTACGTTTGGTACATTATGATTGGTAATATTTCTCTTTCGTTTATAAAAATAATAATAATAAAAAAAAAAAAACCTTGGAAGAATTGCAACCTGGAGCTGAATATAAACCAGCATAGCAACTTTCTGAATTACTCAAACATACATACAGTTGTTGCAATTAACATTTCATTTTTAATTGTATTAAAAGAAAAATGTGTAGTTTTGCTTTTATACATGAAAGGATAAATGTATTTTCTAAATATTTCTACATTTCAATAAACATGAAATTTTATGGTGAGGAGTGGGGGATTACAATTACACTTGAGATTTATTGCTTGAAAATACATCAATTGTGGCACAGGGCCAAAAAAGGGGGAATGGGTGGAGACTGGTCGTCACTAACTATTCTATACCTAGCTAATCCGATTCATGACCCAATCATTTGTTACGATTTATGCATCCCCCATAAAAACATGTCCGTTGTCATTCAGTCCTCCCTACACCACAATACTGCATACATGCAGGGGAACCTATAAAAACAGCCCATGTCATAAAACTTCTTGGGAGTACAGTACACTCTGTTGGGGAAAATTGACTGAAAAACAATTAGATTTCTAATTTGTATGTATTGGAAATGTGAAAAATTTTTACAGTGTACATTTCTTAGTTCTATTAGTTCTAACCTTTATAGTTAAGACCTGCCATGCCACACATTGTAGTGAACCAAGCAAATTCTTTTTGTATTTCATTGGTGAGATGTAAATTCCCTTTGAGAGACTACCTCCTATAAACTGCTACTTTGTGGAGCTGACTCCCAAGAGGATGCTTCCTCCCAATCACTATACCTTTAACCTATTCAAATTGATGGTTAACTGTTATCTTCCTACATATCTTCATAAACAGTGCTTCTGATTCTGTAACTCTCTACCTTTAGTGGTTTTGTACAGGATGAACCTCATTGTTTAAAAAAAAAAAAAATGCTACACTGGAAAATGTGCTACCTGGCTATTTTATCAATAAAATGAGGAATTGGAAAGTGGCTTGTTTTCATATCTCAGACGGCAAAATTGTGTGACTCTTTAACTTAAGAATTCCATTGTGGGTCTTTGACTTGATACATCACCAGGCTTTTGGCGGATGGATGTGTTGTGTTGTGTTGTTTTCCCTGCTATCTCTAGTTGAATTACTACTCAAATGGGACAAGCTTCTCTCTGCATCATCACCATCAACGGCTCCCAAACAGTTTCATCTACCCAATTTTGCTCACAAGACTTGGGTCAGCCTGCGGCATGGTTTACAGGCACTTTCCAGGATGTTATCAAGCAATTAGTTTCTTTAATAATCAACAATGATGTAATTCAGAACCAGGTCATATGCCATGCTTTGTACACAAAAACTTTCTAGATGAGATCCAATAGACATATTTCCTTAAAATATATAAAAATGGATTCTGTGCGTTATTTTAAGAAGCCCCACTCCCAATATTTCTTTTCTACTGAAAAATTGTTTGTAACACTAATTCTGTGTTTCTCAACCTTTTTAAGCAATGGTACACCTAGGAGCAAATGAAAATATTACGGTACGCTTAACAAAATTTTTAAAGGATATACATTTAAATGTCTATTAAATGAAACCATGTATTTTAAAAAAATACCCACAATCATGAACTTAATTTATTTCAATGTTTCTATTCAACTATTTGCGCAGCTTTTTTTAGTGTGAAACCTGTGCCTGGTGTTTTTTTTTTCGCAATTTTTTTCAATGGTTGGTCAAATGTACAATAAGGAGATCATCATTTCTTCAGTTGAGCATGGTCTTTCTCACTTTTTCTTTTTCTTTTTGTTATTTTGGGTTGAGAAGCCTAATTCACATAAATAAGTAGAAAAGTACAATAGAACTTTTTTTTAATTAATATATGTTGTTCCTTTTGTGTTGAAATAAAAAAAAAAATGTATCTATTGGGCACTATTGAATGTTTTACTTTAAGCCCTTAAAAAAAATATATTAAAACAGTATTTAAAATAACATAATTGAAGAACACTGAAAAGAATTGTTTGGAAAAAGAAAAAAAGTTTAATAATTATTCAAATAATAACACTGTACCATTACTACTTCCACACATGGATATATATGTATGCCATGACAATATTTTGTGGCTTTTTTTTTTTTTATCACAAGGCAGTATAGTCACTAAAACACAAGGATTTACAGGGTGTGGAAAAATTAGAAACAGAAACATTAATAATGAACCACACGAGAGATAAGAGTAATCAGGAGGATAGTAGATAGTGATTGGCATTGCATTCAAATCTTTTGCAGATTAAAGCTGGCTGGAAAGCATGGAACTGGAAGGTAGTTCCACAAGTGATAAGTGCAAGAAAGGGATCTGTTTGCATAAAACTTAGGTTACATCTAGCCAACTCAACTGTAAATTGATGAGATCTAAACGCCGGTCTAGTACTGTACTTAAAAAGTGTAGGTACCATAACAAAGAGCTCATCATGCACAATAATGTTACTGATTCTTCTTTGGTTCTTATCAAGGGCTCAAGGTAAATAAGGGGCACTGGATCATATGTAACAGCAATATTCTAATCATAGATGAATTGTATACTAAATATAACTATAGTAATAAGAAATAATGTCTGATTATAAATCAAATCTATTAACTCTTTAAAAAATAGTTTGTTTACATTTCAGATATACTCTTACCTAGACAGAAATACCAATCCTCCAGTTTCTAGAGGTACAACACTAGTTGAACAAGAAGTTTTTGAAATTTGGTTTTGTTGTTTCACTCCATATCAACCTCAGAGTTATTTAATGCAGAAATCTATTTTCAATGCAATTTTATGGCTTCAACTAAATATTTTGTACATAATTTCAGGGTAAATGTATGCTTTATAGATATATAGTTTGCAGATTACCCACTGTAGGTGTCATATGTTTTGGGACAAAGCTATTTCTTTAGTTGTTTTTGTTTAGTGGCATATCAACCTATATGGCTATTTAATACTGAAATTTAAATATTAAAATTCAAACTTAATAATTCAAGAATTGCTAAATTGTAATTACTTAGCTGCATTAACATTAACTACATATTTTTGAACAATTGCCAAATTTTAGTGGATGCATGAGAAATTTCATCTGGTGTCTGCCATAGCAACTTACTTGGTACTGAAAGTTGTGTTGGTTATTGTCATTTAAAACATGAATTAAATGTAAACAGGATCAAAAGTTTCCTTGAACATCTCATCATTAACTGTAAAGAATAAGGAGAGTGAGAACTCTTATGGCTTTTGTCCTGGCACAGAACAATTTCCCTCAAAAATGTATTTTGTACTTTCTTATGGTTAATTTTCATTGGAAACTAACCAGAAACAAATGTTTTTCTGTTGCTTCTGTAAATAAAAATTAACTATGACAAACACAATACAGTTTTAATTGACAAAGATCGTAAAATAGACTTTTATTTTTTTTTAAAAAAATTTTTGTTTCATTCACTTTGCTAGATCTTATGTAGACTGAATTTAAGACATGATATACTTTACTAATTTAATCAGTTTTTGCAAGTCTTGACTTGGACAGAGACCAGTTTCCACCAAGGAATCACAGTATTACAACTAGTTTAGATATATTTCAAAAGGAATTTGTTTTTTAATGCACCAAGTTCATGACCCTTGACTGAGCATATTCATAATTTTTGAGAGTAAATTTTGTCAGATGAGTGTGTACTTCAACTCAGTGGAAATGGGGCATAGATTAAATGAAGAAATTCAATTCACTGTTTTAGTGAAGTGGGTCACACACAACTTTTCAACACCTCATATTAAGCTTTAACAAAGAATAATTGCTGATCTAAGTAATTTTTAGAACTAATTTACCTGAAGAGGTTTTGCAATTTATAATTAAACTTTGTTATTGAAATTGACTAATGGATTGCCAGTTGAAAATTTTACTTAAAAATATTACCTGCCATTGTAAAAGTCTATTATTTCACTTGGCTATTATAGCATTAATATATTGTTTATTTGTAAAATTGACCTATATGAAAGAACAAGTTGTTTTTGTGTGAACTGTGATGGTTTTTGTTTTATTTCTTTTATTAAATACCAAGTCAGTAAGAAAGAGGGCAAGTTGATGACTACAACATAGTTATTCATAAATTTTGCTTATGACATAAGAATGTTATTTATTCTTTTATATTCTACCTTGTAACACTTGAAATAATTTTCTCCAATGACATCCAAGGTCAAGTAATTTTAAAATTTGCTTTTGATGTTTGTTACTATAATAACTGATTTAGTCAAGTTAATTTACATTTTAAACTTTAAAATTATAGTTGGTTATTTTTTATTTTTTTACGGTTTCAAACATTTTAATTTGAAAGGATTTGCAGTACATCAGACATTAACCAGAAAAATTTGAACTTTCTGTTAAATTTTCTGTCATTGATGTGTCATTGAGCTTTCATTTTAGAAATTGATAGCTCTTATAAGCAGTTTAAAATTTTCACCTATGAGTTCTGTTTGTCAACCAGGTGTTACAAAACTTTCTTTCAAATATTTAGCTTATGTTCATAATTGTCCTTATTTACTGTACTAATATTTGTGTATTCATTTGGTAATGTCAATTATATGAACCAAATTTAACATTGTAATAATTTTCATTTGTATACAAGTGAAATTGTAGGATTAAATTAAGCTTTTTGTAATAATTGTTTCAGTTACTCATCTTTTACATGGTATACATTCACTATATTTCAAAATAATCTATTCTTGTCTCTCGAATAAATAATGTGGGGGAAATATCAAAAAGGTGGGTGGATGTTGTTGTTTTTTTTTGTTTTTTTAATATAAATTTAATAAACAGTTGTTCAAATATGTAATCAAAATTAATAAAAGTTTATTTTTCATGTCACATTGTCATCATTAAATTTTAATAAATGGGAGATGGGATTCAAAGAAATTATTTGTGGCAGTGTAGTCAATTTTCGAAATTTTAATGTACTCTAGCCTTTTTATTTTGAGAAGCTAGAATAAAAAGTTCTGATAATTCTCCTGTCTTTTTGTGCATATATTCTTAAGCTAATTCAAGGAAAATTGTGATTATAAGCATATGTAGGAAAGATAACTGTTGACTAGACTTTAAGTTAAGATTGTAGTAATCAGAGAATCAACCTCTTGGGAGTCTCTTCTACAAAATAGCACTTTTTGGGAAGAAACTAAGTGAAACTTCTTTTTGTGACCAATGGAATATGAAGAGAATGAGAATGATTAAACCCTGTGCATGTGGCATGGTGTGCCTTAGATGTAAAGGTCTGAACTAGTAGAACTGTAGTTTGTTTGAACACTTGGCATAAAAATAGCAATAGATTATTGATAGGCTTGTGATTTTTTTTTTTCCTTTATGAGAAAGAGGCTGTAGGGTTGAAAATAATTCATTGCTCACAAAACCGTGTAAACTTATTTTGAAGGCTAGAAAGTGATTTGATTAATTAAAAATGTCGTCTCAAAAGGACCCTCCCCCCTGACAACACTATTTTAACTGCCTTCACTCCTTGGCAATGTTTTAAGTGATAATTAGAATTTTAATAAGGCCTAAACATATAAAAGTAAAATTATATATTTCATTTGTTGTGGAGAATTAACAAAAATAATAAACAATATTTATTAGATTGTTTATTGGAATGGTTGGCATTGGTAAATATTGGCTAATTGCCAATCTATTTGAACTTTATAAAATGGTAAATAATGATCTTATAGATGATTCACATATCTGAATAATTTTTAGTAAATGATTATAAAGAAAAAAAGTTTCATTTTGGTAACTCTTGCATTATTTTTTTTCTAATAGAATTGTACAGTTTTTACAATGTTGTAAATATAAAATTAATCTAATAGTGTTTAATATTTTTGTTGTATATTCTCAAGAACAAAAAAATGTATAAATTTACTTTCATATTTTTAGGTTTTATTACAGTTCTAATCATTGCTTTTTAAAACCATAAACATTGTCAAAATTTGCTTATAATCTTAAGTTTTTGATTACAAACTGAGCCATAAACTATAAAAGTAGTTCACTTAAATATTTGCCAATTTTCATTTATGTTGAATTGGTTGTCTGTGTTAATAATGAAATTGTCTGTTTTTCCATGAATAAAATACAAATATTTCTACTTACAAGAAAATTTTAGTTTGAATATTTTTCATCCAAATTAGTTTGAAATGGAAAACATCTTTTATATGATATTTTTTTTCTGTGTGTCATGTCCCTTCAGAATGTTGGCAATTATGGCTCTCCACAACTTCCTCTCCTTTGTAGCTCTTAGAAAGCTTTGTCTTTTTGCTATCCTTCCCAGTCCCTGTTCTGCCAACCATTTACAAAAGGTTGATTATTGGGTGCTTTTCTCTCTTGTTTTCAATATGTTTTGAGTGTCGAATTCTCTGTCATCTTTTCTCATTATGTGCCTTAGAAATATCAACTCTCTTTCTGATTTTAGTGTAAACATCCTTTTTGTTTGTTTTTTTTTCTAAACCTCCTCATTACATGTTCAGTCCATGGTATTCTCAGCATTCTTCTGTAGAGCCATATTTCTGTTGTCTCAAATCACTGAAGAGATTGTCCAGCAATTACTGCCATTTTGGAGGACTGATATTACATAAGTTTGGCATTCTTTTCTTTGTCTCTAATGAAATGTTTCTGTTTCTTGATACTTTGCTTACCTTTTGGGAGGCATCTTTTGCCATTCCAAAGTGCCTTTGAATTTCAGTGTTGCATCTTCTGTTAAAACACTTCCTAGATATTTACATTTTCATATTTGTCTGATTTTGGAGTTTCTAGTTCACATTTTGCATCTTGGGCTGTTTCTTTTGCTAACAACCATGCAATTGATTGATTCTCTCTCTCTCTCTCCCCACTTCCATTTACTAGGAGTTCCTGTAGTTCCCATTCTGTGTCTGCTACCAACATTGCCATCTGCATATCTATTTTTTTTAATTTTATGTCACCCCAAGCAAGGCAATAGAGCTACTAAGACACAATGGAGAGAAGGTTGGTACTGAGAATGACAGAATATGAGAAAAAGAAAACCTTATTAAGGAGAGAGAATATTTTCTTTCTTTTTTTTTGTAATATTTGTGATTTTGAAGTGCTTACTTGAGTATAATGTCAGTTTTTTCTGATTGCATTATACACAGGTAATTTTAAAAAAATTTTTTTTATATAGTGGTTAAAATTGATGCCAAAAAATTCAGGGGTGGCACTATACATGAAGTCACCTTATACACAAGCCTATATGATAATCTATAGTAATATGAAAATAATTTCTGGTTGCAGTGCCTATTGTAGAACTCTACCAAATTTATAATTTAACGCTTTGTTTTAGTGGGAGTGGGGAGCCACAAAAAGTGACTATATGCAAAAGAATCTCCTTAATACATGTACACATAGTATATATCTCTATAGCAAAACCTTACGATTATGTATATAAGATTCTATAATCTATTGAAAAGAAAAATCTTTGTTTGTAGTTCATGGTGGTCCAATGTAGAAATGGGTCCTCCTGATGTCATCTTGGGAGTGACAGAAGCCTATAAGAGAGATACCAGTGCTAAAAAAATGAATCTTGGTGTTGGTGCTTACAGAGATGATAATGGTAAACCTTATGTACTTCCGTCTGTCCGCAAGGTGAGCATACACTTTATTTCTTTTATTTTTTTTTATTTCCACAGGATCAACTTTTGTGTTAATTGAATTTTATCTAAAAATAAAATCAGAATTTAAACAAATTCTGTTAAAGTGTAATATTGTATAGATCAGCGTTTCTCAACTTTTTATTTTTGTGGAACCCTTGAAATAGTTTTCATGTCTCAGAGAACCCCTGCATAAAAATTACTATATACCATTATTTTTATTGTAGTTCATGTTGTAGACTTAATATATGGACACATGTCATTCAATGATACACAAATCCACCATATACAGATCCTGTCCACTAACCAGTGAAAGCAGTTTCACACTGATGCCATATAGACATCACTAAATACATTCCCTCTGATTATTATAATTTCACATAATCTGAGAAGATGAAGCCTTTATTGTAATAACCAAAGGTTTTTTTTTTTTTTTTTTTTTAACAATATACCGTACATGTATAGTAAAATTACAAACCAAACATAAAATTACTCAAAAATGCATTAGCCTATTTATCACTGTTTCTTGTGGAACCCTTAACCTCTGGGAGAACTCTGGGGTTCTGGGATATACCAGTTGAGGAACATTTGTATAGATTAATAAGAACATGAGGCCAAATCTCTTGTATATAAAATGACAGTTTATTCTCTGTTGAATTTAATCAGTTGATATTGCTAAGTGGCTGTGTGGCTCTCCCTAAACATGTACCTTCTTGTGAGAATGTGAAAATTTTTCACTCAGGTGAACTGCTTATATATCTTCCTGTGAGCTGGTTGTCTCACATGTGCACATCTGAAGTGCAGCTGGGATGACCACCTATTTATATGTTTGAGGTAGCTAGTGACATCCTGCATTCTACATCTGGTCACTGAGTCCACTTTCCAGATCAATCTTTGCTTCAGGCATGAGACTAAGTGTAAAGCCTATTTTTGTACTTCGTAGGGTGAGATGGGGTCACTACAGATCAACTTCTCTTTGGACAAACGTTCCTTATTGGCATTATATTTGATTCATACCATCTCTGTGTGAATTGCAGAAATTTGTAATTCTATTCAAATACATTTATCTATTAAATGACAAGTTTGGCAAAATGGGATCTACTTGACATCTCTCATTTTAATGCATTAATATGCATAATCCAATTTTTGGAATGGCGAATATTAATGGGTTATAGTGAGAGACCTATAATTAAAACCAGTTTTTCTTATTTCATCATCAGTCCCATGAATTCTCATGAATTAGAAGAAAGTCTCGGGATTCCAAACTGTCTGGAAAATATCTATTTTGAATTCTTCACAGGATTTTTTTTTTTTTGTCAGTGTTGCATCAGCCAAGTCAGTCAGCCACTCTAAAGTCTTGCTTTGAGCTTTTTGCAGCTATTCTGTTTTTTTCTCAAAACAGTAAATAAATACTTATGTAGATCGTGTTCAGTGGGCCCCCCCTCCCCCTGACAAGTATATTCTTGGCTTGAGATCTATTGAAAGTAATCCACTTTTTTGAAGGCTTTCAAGCAGAAAACCCAAAAATGTTAAACATGTGCAGGCTGCAAACAAGAAATTGGTAATTGATAGGAAGGAGATTTTTTTTTTTTTAAACCATGGACGAGATTAAGGAGAATGGGGAAAAGGCAGCTGATGGTGATCCTAAAATGTGAAAGTTGATGCTGGGAGAAGTATGTGCAGTCCAAGTGGGGAATAATTTGAAGGTGACTAAGGCTAGAGTTTGGTTACCTTTTTCTTTAATATTAGATAACTGGATCATTTCTGGACAGAACTTGTACTTTTTAGGTGCTTAACTGACATGGGTAGGGAATGTTTATTTATACATATATAAATTAATTTATAGGAAACTTTCTGCTTTCTTGTTTATTAATTTTGCATCTTTCCTGTCCTCCACTTATTAGAATCCTCTCTCCCTGTTTATTGCATATTGAGAAAATGTCACCCCCCCATTATATTAGATACCTTGAAAAGACTGAGTAATTCTTGTATTTATTGTTTTACAAGTTTAATATTTTTCTTTTCAGGCTGAAGAGTTGTTATTGTCAGAAAAACTGGACAAAGAATATTCTCCCATTGGTGGTGACAGTGGCTATTGTGCAGCTGTTGCCAAATTGGCTTTTGGTGAGGATTGTGCAGCACTTAAGGATAACTTGGTAAGATAATTAGTTCTTTATAATTCAAGAATGCAGTTCCTCAGTATTTTTTTTTTTTTTTTAATACATCATTCCTAATCTTTCATTCAAATTGGATAACCTCCTAGACAATAAAGACCAAAAATAATAATGGCAGTCTCTCTCTCTCTCTCTCTCTTCTTTTTTTTTAACAATTTAATTTTATCTTCAGTAATATTTGATCTTTATTCTGTTATCCTTATAACAATGTATTCTGTAATATAAAACAATGTAATTTTATATATTTTAATGATGATGCATTCTATTTGATGTAAAATTATGATTCCATGGATATGGTAAGAAGGGGCTTGATGTGAAGAAGCAAACATGCTTTGTGTTAATAAAATCTCATTCATAAGGAGGAAATGATCAGGCTGCTAATACATCACTTTTTTTTTTTTTATTATTGTTTTATTAGTTTTCTAATTTTTTGGATATGTTTTTCTTGCCGGTGGCACTAATTAATTGTACAGATAAAAATCCTCAATTACTCTTGTAGAAAATATGACCTGTGCAATTATAAACACTTCTTTTTTTTTTTTTTTTTTTTTTTTTTTTTTTTTTTTTTTTTTCTTTTTAATATTGGTTCTTTAAACTTTGTATTAGCATTCTGTCTGAGTTTCTTCAGCTATAGCCAGTGATTGTATCTTCATTACAGAGACTTGTGTAGTTCTATGATGGGTATGGACCCCAGTCATATGAAGTCCTGTACAAGAGAGGTATTTCAATATTAGGCTTAACTTCAACTTGCCATAGGATACTTGCAGTGGTTAGAGCTTACATATGCCTGAGTTTTCATAAGAATTTTTTGTTAGTCAAGATGTGTTCCTTCAATTCTGATTGCAATCTGTCCACCATGGTTGAATCTTCTAGGGAATGTCTTCCTTAATAGAATAGTCCAAATATAGACCTGTTTTTCTTAGTTTATCCCCCCCAACCTCAATGACTTGACAATAGATTTAGTGTTTCTTTCTTTAAGTGGTTTTATTTAAGAAAAAAAAATCTTTTGATACATGGTTCTTTGAATTGTTTTAATTAGATATGTTGCAGAAATCATCAAAAGTAACTGAAATTGATGAAAGATCCTTGAAAATTAAACTACTGCTGCACTGGCTGATATCTAGTGTTTGGAACAATGATGAGGATACTTTTCTATCATTCTGGGACTTATGATTTTTATTTAGGTCTCTCTGTTGCTATCTAGGCCAGGGGAAATCTCCAGTGGGGTAGGAATTTCTTTCTGTTTTTTTTTTTTTTTTTTTTTTTAAACAGAATTTAGAGCCCATCCATAATCTTCATCAGACTAAAATTGATTTAAATACCCTGACCTTTTGACTGAATGTTTTGTTTATTGAATTACATTGAAGTTTTTGTTTATGGAAGTATGCTTCAGTTTATTTAATAATTAGTTTTGAATTAAAACATTACTGTATATGTATTCAATTTTAAAAATCCAACATTTTCTATTGCTATTAAATTTGCAAAAATCGTCTATAAAATAATGGATGTCTATGTAGTATTTGGCAAAAAGGTTGAGATTTATTGACATAGGCAGTCAAGACTTCTGCAACTGTAAATTGTTCATTCCCATTTAAGATAATCTCCAATCAGTTGTCCTGGCTTTATTGCTAACCATGGCTAGAAAGCCCATTCTGTTCTATCAAATTCATAGGTGAAGGTAGATGTTGAGTTCTAACTTTTTTTTTTTTATAGGAGTGTTAATGCAAAGTGAAACTGGATCAGCTAGAATTTGAACTGTGCTTGTCATTGATTTCATAATGTTGTTAACATTTTCTCTGTCAACACATCTACTCAGAGCTGGTGCAAGGATCTCATGGCCCACCCACAATCTTTCATACAATCCCCCATCTATGATATGACAACCCCTTATACATCTCAATTATATAATGTTGTGTTCATATGCAATATAGGTGAGCAATTCAACAAGAAAAATTGAAAATAAATACAATGTATCTAAATACAAATTAAAGACCTGTCATAATAGATCATTCCATCTTAAATAAATTCATCTTTTGTGGCAATTTTTAACATTAGCTTGAGATTTTTCTTAAAAAGTTGAATTTTACCACTTTCAATATTATGGATGAAAAATAGTGAATTATATATATAATCTCCACAAAAAGACTCAGAATATTAAAATCTGAAAATTTTTCATCCTTTAATAGTCAGTTGTGCTTAGTTTAATTTGTAACATATATAGATAGAAAAAAAAAAAGCAAATATTAGGGTCACAAAGCATTGCCCAGGGCCCTCAATCAGGAGGCTCTCCCCACTTGATCAGTATGTTTTGGGGGTAGTATGCGACAGCCCTGCTTCTACTAGATTAGTAAGAGAAATTTAAAAAAAAAAAAAATCATGCCAATCATTTGCAAGTTTGCCAGTATGTTCTAAAGACTCTTTATTTTATTTTATTTTTTTTATTAAAGATTAATGTATGAACATAATATGCCAATAGTGTATATTGTGTAAACTAAATTTTTTTTTCATTTCAGAATGTGACAGTTCAAGGAATTTCTGGAACTGGTGCTCTGAGAATTGGAGCCGCTTTCTTTGTAATTATAACACTTGTTTGTATTTTTAATAATAACCTTCCTGAAACTCTAGACAAGAGTAAATTTTCTGCTTTGTCTCTTCCTTAACTTTGGGAAGTAACAAAAAATACCTAAGGATCAATTTTCAATATTGGTGTATCAGAAATCATTTGTATGAAAAAAATAAATGTTAATATTATTACTCTACTTGTCTCTTAATAGTTATGTTTTGTATATGAAATTTGTCCCAAAATAGTTAAATTTGTAGTCACATGTAATTTACATTTAATAGTTTAATATAAGTAGCTTTTATTGCCTTGCTTAGGTTGAAATTATTAAAAATAGTAAATAAAAAAAATAAAAACAAGATAAACTTAATGAAATAATTTATTTAGTGTTGCCAGCCATTAATTTTAAGAAACATTTAAATAATTAAGATTTAGTTATTTTTGAATTATTATAAAATATGTCCATGGTTACATTAACTGTTTAAAGTTAGTGAGTGGATATCAGTATAACCTTAAGTTTTGCCAATCAAAACCAAGAATGTAAATCTAACAATTATTATGGGACAGATAGTGGTAAGTAAATGTTACAATAATTATGAAATAAAATTGTGTAATGCTGTTGTACATTGATTCTTTCAAACCAGTTTCAAATAAAAGGTCCTATTTGAAATTCTCAACTTGTTATCTGATAAAAGCTTTAAACCTTAGTTCCACCAACTCTAACCCTTACCACTGTGATCTATCACGTTGTTGTGCACTGAGGCAGACCACTCTCATTCCCTTCATTTTTCATTAGTAAGAAGTTCTACTTGGACAGTTCTTTTCTATGGAATGGACTCCCAAGAGGATGCTTTCTTGACCACTACAATCTTAACCTGTTCAAGTCTTGGGTTAACCATTATCCTTCACCACATATCCTCATTAACTGTATCGCTTAACTCTTACTCTTACCACTCAGATACCTTCATTCAGTAACCCTCTACCTTGAGTGCCTCTTGAAATTCATTAAAGTAAGATTAAGCAAATATTGAAGTTTTCAAAAATGCTCTTACTGTGTTTTATATATTTAGCAGCTCATTGCAAACATAAGGTGGTAATATAAGAACCGATGAGACAAGATATTAAAGTAAATAGAAATAATTCTGATAAAATTTATATGAATAAAGAAAATATTTGATCTGAGAATTAGCTACCAAACAGTATTTTACATCTCACCAGTGGAATATGAAGGGAATGAGTGGTTCACTACAATGTATGTGGTATAAAATGTTGCAAGACCAGTTTGGAAAACTTTGGCTGAGGTCAATGGTGTCTGGGTAAACATTAACCCTTTGGAGAGGGAAGGCAGTGTAAGGTGGAGTCTTATATGCCATTAATACAAATTTATTAAATATTAAAATTTTTATTTATTTTTTTTTCCAGTCCAAATGGTATTCTCCCTCCAAGACTGTTTATCTTCCAACACCTTCCTGGGGTAATCACACACCAATCCTCAAGTAAGTATGTGTCACTTTAGGGATGACTATCAATTACTTCAGTTTATGCTCTCTTAGATTTGAATCTAAAGTTCATTTTGAGGTTTGGGTAATAAAATTAAAGCAACAACTGAAATCTTGTTTATTTTTTTTTCTTTTTATTAATAATTTCACCCCAAGCAAGGCAATAAAGCCACTAGGATGCAAGAGGTTACTGAGTGTTAGAGAATATGAGAAAAACTATTAAGGATCGAGAACAAAAGAATAAGAATTAAGAAGACAAGATAATGATTGACATTGCATTTAAACTTCATTTGTATTTGAAATTTAATATAATTTTTTTTTTTTTTTAATGTTTGTTCCTTTTTAGTTCTGTTGTCATAATGATTTCAATTTGAGTTTTTTCTGTCACGCTTTTTGCTTGTGGAACTCTCCTCCGGCTTCTTACTTCCCTGTCAACTTTAATCTTAAAAAATTTAAATACACTGTCAATTATATTCTGTCTTAATTGTTGTTTTTTTTTTTTTTTTTTTTTTTTATTATTATTATCTTCTCTCCTTAATAGTATGTTTTTTCATATTCTGTGGCACTCAGTAACACCCTTGCATCTTAGTGGCCTTACTGCCTTGTTTGGGGTGATTTTATTTATAAAAAAAAAATAAATGAAAAGGAAGTATGAAAGTCACTGAAGCTCCTATTTTATTTTTGATTTGATCCGCTTTTTTTTTTTTTTTTTTTTTTTTTTTTAAGGAAAAATAAAATCTTTAACCAATGAAAAATTAATAACAAAAATTTAGAATTTGTGTATACCAAGACAACTCAACATATTAGATATGCCTGCAATGAAGATACATGCTGAAAATTCCTTGACCAAATCCATTTCAAAAAACTAGTATTCTGTTTTAGGTCATTAAAATACTGATTTTTGGAAGTGAACTTTTCAGCACCTCCTTGTATAGTGACTACAGCATTTCATATTGGCTTATAGTAGGGCCTCAACTTTACATATATGACCTGCGAGTTAGTGATGTTAGATATTTGTTAGACAAAAATAACACAAGGACACCTTTTGTAGAACCTCCAACAAGGATTGAACTTAATAGTTGTGGTCTCTAAGACTAGAATGCTACCAGTTGTCCCACAGATGCACTGCTCTGATGGTTTTGAGTAAAATTTTATTTTTATTCTAAAAATAACCTATGCCTATAGCAGTAAGATTTCATAGCATCCACTATTCTGAAATATAATGAAAGAAAGTATTATGAAAGGGACACTTGAGTTCAATTCTTAGTGAGGGAGATATTTTATTTTTTTTTATTTAAAGTTTGTTTGCCCAATACAAGTACCAAGGGACAATCAAGGTAGACAGTTATTGAGTTGGATTGTTGTAATTCTCTTCATCTTGTGTCTGCACTCTTATTAACATACTACAAAGACAGAGTGAAAAAGTGTTCTCAGTCACACATCTCACCACTTAGTGTCATCTGACCAGAGTAAGAGACAAAAAAGAATAGGATGAAGCTAAGGTATTGTGACCAAAGGAGTGGTGATTTTCATACTGAAGCAAGTATTGCCTACTGGATTTTAAATTTAGCTCAGTTTTAAAAACCAAAAGACTATTGAGTAAGAAGCACTGAAGGCAACAGGAGTGGTTGTAATGTAATTTTCAAAAACTTTATTGCTCTTCCACATATCCACTAAAATATATATATATATATATATATATTCCAAATACAGATTACTACTTTTTATATTATATTGATATTTTTTACCTTTTTATTTTAGACATTCTGGTCTTGATGTGAAATCTTATGCCTATTATGATCCCAAAACCTGTGGACTGGATTTTCAAAGTACTTTGTCTGACATTTCTGTAAGTAGTTTTTATATTTTCTTTGATTTGTGAATCATTTATTTTTATTTATTTTTTTAATTGATGCCCTAAAAATTACAAAGTGATACTATGGTCACCACATAGAAAAGGAAGAAATGGTTTTATCTTTATCTAAAGTATTTCTGTTTGATAGACCAGACCAGTGGCTGGTTCCTTTTTGAAGTTTGGTCTTATAAGTAGCATTCACTTTAAATGAAGTGGAATGGGAAGTAAAGAGTTGGAGGAGGGATTTTCAGGAATTGAGTGGCAACAAATCTGGAAATAGGTTATATACAGGTGCTAGTGTATATTAAGTCATCCTTGGGATCAAGTTTCCTTGGCAAGAAATGGACTTGCCCATTGTGTGGTTCCTGTCTGAGCTGTTCTGAAGCCTCCATTTTGTATTGCCAGCCACCGCATCGGGATGAGTAGACGGGTGAGGAATTGGTAGTGGGAAGAGCTGACATAGCAAAAGTTATCCCAAGTATCACCTATCTACCCACCCAGATGAGCTGGAAAAGCCCTGAATAAAACACCTATATATATATATATATATATATATATAATAATATTAGAAACAGGGTTCACATTCTTATTTCTCACCACAGTGTTTGTCTGTCTTTCATTACCTTGTGAGCATGCAGTACACCATTCCTCAGCTCTTGATGTACACTGGCAAGATTAAGAATCTGAATACAATGTGGGGTTATCCTTGGTTGGTTGATAGAAATCTTAGGCAAGATTTTACATGGTATTTGTACTATGTTTTAAGAATGATTGTTGCTCAACCTTCTTGAATGAATTTAGAAAGATTGGTTCAAAAGTACCAGTAAAGTTTAAATGGAAACTTTTTAATGAATTTTTTTTTTTTTTTGTTTATCTGTTGAACAAAAAAGGCATTGTTATTTTGATAACCTGTTAATGTTGAGTAAAATATTTCTGGGATGAGGAGTTATTTCTCTTCAGATTAATATGCTTGTCATTTTTTTGTTATCACATTTTGGCTGTTATATCCTCTGGCTGTCTTCAGTTATCTGCCAATTTGGTTAATCTTCAGGGAATTTCAAAATGAACCTATTTATTAAACCTATAGAAAGAGATTGTTCTTATTCTGCTATCCATATCTGGGATATTTCAGCTCTGTTAATTCTTCAGTTATTGCTAGTCTCCTTCCCACTGAGCTTATGGCTATATCCTGCTGAAACACTGGTTCCTGGGAATACCAGATGCTGTAAGCTTAGATGTGCAATGGATAATGGCTTGGAATTGTTAATCAGGGAGCCAAGCCCCAATTCCTGTTGGGTTTGTTATGTTCATTTATGAGCAAATACCTTTTTGGGGAAGTTATAAACCGACCTCTTCTCTCCTTGTATAACTAAACAATTATTCTTCAAAGAAAAAATTCTTGTAATCTAAAAATATTTTCTAACTTTAAATAACCTGTGAAGGCTCAAGCTGTAGAAAACAATCAGTAAAACTTAACTGAGTTTAAATATCTGTACTACCTAGCCTGGGGATTGAACCCACAATTACTATGCCACTAAATTCACAAACCAATGCTTTAATCGACTAGGCCTTTTTTTTTCCATTATAATAGCCTATTGGATTAAAAATTGGTTTGTGAATTTGTTGGCATAATAATTGGGAGTTCAATTCCTGGGCCAGGTAGTACAGATATATTCACTCTGTGAAAACAAGACTAACAATAACTGTAGTAATAAATTGAGAATAAGACAAGCTATCCTAAGACAGGTAGAGTTGAATAAGAAGAATCTGCTCCTGTAGATTAAAAAAGGATTCTATATGAAATTCCTTGAAGCACTGGATTGACAAGCACCTGAAGAAGGCTAAAGTGGCACAGCAGCCTTGTGATAACAAAGATGAGGACATTTTGAAGTTTTCATCAGAAGTCGTGAAATACAAAACTAATTTTACTGAAATCACAATCTGATGATTATATCATAATAATAAAAAAAAAAAAAGTCTAAATTATGATATGGTATATTTTAAGTATACTATGTTGGGTACCTCTTAGAGCAGTTGGGTTTATTTTACTGTGCCCATCTCTCTTCAAGTAACATACACAAGATTCTACTAGTTTACATAGTAACATCAGCAAAGCATAATTCCTAATTTGGCCTATTCATAAAGGTGGATTAATGTCTTTTTTTCTAAGAGTGTTAACCCATTAGCATTTAACCTGCTGTAACTTGCTTCATGTATACTCTGCTGTAATATGACATCAGTACAAATAACACAGTCAGGCAAATGGTGAGACATTGAGAAACAAAATTCATGATGTGGGTTTGAGCATGTTGAATGCTGAAGGGTTAATTCAGAGTGAACACAAGTTATTCCTGGCAATATTTGAACTTTTCTTTGCTGTTAAACACGAGATCAACTGAAGACATCTAAAGTATACTATGATTGAAAATCATACCATAAAATATTAAAGTGTCTTGGATCATATGACCTTTGACATGCATCATTTGAAAAACAGTTCAAAAATCTTTTTAGACAATTTTCCTTTTGATTTAGATTTTATTTATTTTTATTTTTTTTTTATGTGTGGGTAGTGTAATGTATATAGTCAGAGAAAGTAGAATTGTTGAGGTGACAGCCAGTTTAGAAGATTTACTTTGAATTCAAAAGTTTGGAAGGCAACAACAGGAAACCACTTCTTTTTATTTTCTTGAGTCAATTCATAGATAATAAATAACAGCAGTCTATGGAGAGCTTTGATTGTATATATTCTGAAAGATATTTAAAAAAAAAAAATTTGAAAGGTGCATAATAGCAAATTTTAAATAACCATAAAAGACAAAATTATTTAAATTTTCACAATTTTTTTTTGATTCTGTCAATATTTGTTATTGGTGTGTAATACATTTATTGTAATTTAAAAGAAAAAAAATTCTGTTGTCCCTTGACATTTAATGATTGATTATTCTTTTGTTTTGCAGAAAATTCCTGAAGGATCTATTGTTCTATTGCATGCATGTGCACATAACCCTACAGGAGTTGACCCCAGGGTGAGTTTTCTTCATGTTCAGACAAGTAACAACACTGAAAGAATCGGCATATATGCTAGGCTGTGAGGACCTCCTTAGTAGACCTAGCATAGAAATAAATATATGGGAACCACTAATAAATAAATGCAAATGACAGCAGGTTTTCAACAGCAGCTGTAAGTTTCAATGAGTGCAGTCAAGCAGGACAAATAACAGTTTCACTCATCAGCAGGCAGGTAATTTAGGTTTAATGCTCCAAGTTCCCAACAGAAAATTGACCCACATAACAATAGCCTAGTGGATTAAAGTTTTTTTTTTTTTTTCTCCCAAAAAACAGGATAGAAATGCTGAAGTTTTACTTATAAAGCAGCAAGTATTATAATTTTGATATACAGTAAGTCCCCCTGTATTTGCAGTGGTTAGGAACCAGAACCAGCCACAAATAGTTACAATCAATGAATACTTCTAACTCCCTGCCCAAGTGCCTATTTTGATTGTTAAAACCCCATATGCCTTAAACTTTCATCCTAAACACTTTAGAAGCATTTCAGCCCCTTTTTTAAAAAAACATTTTTGAAAAATAGTATTGCTGACCATACACTTAGTGTAAATTTTTTTTCATACATACAATAACCGTTTTAATTATGCATAGATCAATACAACCATTGAAAATACTGTATAAAATGTGTAACAAGACATAAAATATAAAGTTTAAAACATTTTCTAAAAACAAAACTGTGATGATGCCCCCAGACTTAGCATAAGCCACTTTTAAGACCCCAGCCACAGCCCCTAACAAAGAACAAAGCCCAGCCATCAGCATGTTTTTGCGCTTGTTTTTTTTTTTTTTTTTACAATGAAGATGTACAATTCTACCAATTTTTACCATAAATATGTTTTAAGTCACTTAAATAACAGGAAAAATAAGAATATTTTAAACATGTTCTATCAAAAAATGTGAATCAAGGGAGTTCTCAGCAAATAATTTGTGCGTATGTTCTTCAGAAAAACATGTGAATATTTGGGGTTTCCATGACTAACAAGTACATGAGTTCTAAAGAAAAATCTGTCAATGTGTGAAGCCATGAATGCTGAAATGTGACTAGGTGAGGGTCTCACTGTAATATAGTTTTATGAATGCATTATATTTTCAAATAAATTTTGGTCATTGTAATTGTTGATGATACATAGATTAATTTCCCTTCAAAGGAAGTAAATTGAAGCTGCAAATAATTAATAAAATAAGTTTGATTTCTGCATGATGATTTCTTGACAATTTTTGTTTCATACAATATGAGGATGATTTTGACTTGACTGATATATATATATATATATATATATATATATATATATATATATGAGTTAACTTTTTTATTTTTTTTTTTTCCTGATACAATGTGAAGGAAAAGTAATTTCTGGGATTTACAACTGGACTATTCTCATGTTTTGTTGTTATGCAAGGCCATGGAGACCTCCTTAGTGGGCCTAGCATAGAAATAAATACGATATGGATGTCACTAATAAAGAAAGACAAAAGACAGGTCTTCAGCAGCAGTTAGGTTTAAGGCTCAAAGTTCTCCAAGTTCATGTTGTCTTACAGGAAAATAGGATAGTGGATTAAAGCATTGGTTCATGAATTTGGTGATATAGTAATTGTGAATTCAATCTTTTGTTTTACAGCCAGGCCAGTGGGATGAACTTAGTAACATCTTCAAATCTCGCAAGCTGTTTCCTTTCTTTGACATGGCTTACCAAGGCTTTGCTAGTGGTGATACTGTCAATGATGCTTATGCTGTTCGAAAATTTGTTGCTGATGGCCACAAAGTGGCTCTTGCTCAATCCTTTGCCAAGAACATGGGACTTTATGGTAAGTAAAGTTTTTAACAATAGCCTCTAGTACTAAAATAAAACATATGCAATAGTTTACTCAGACTAGTATATTAAAAAATATTTATGTATACACTAAAAGCCACATTCATTTGAAGCTGGTTTCAGAATTGTAAAGTCAAAAATGTTGTAAAAGCAACTCTTATGAGGAAATTAATTTGAGAAAACAATATTAAGTATTGCTTTTATGAATGAATTAGCTACAGATATTTTTTGTTGTGTGGGGAAAATGCTGCCAAAAATACTTGCATGTATGTTAATTTGTTAGTATTTATAGTCTTTTAATGGTCTATGACCAAGTAGCTTAAACCTCACTATGGTCAATTTGTCAAGGTGACAATCCCAACATGTAACATCATTGGGAATTACCTGAAAACCATACAAGCTGGTGGAATTGGGTAGATGAAACTGTTCAGAAGCTGTCAATGGTTTTGCTAGAATGATGTCACAAGTCATCATGATCAATACATGTCTTCTTCAAACTGTTCATCACACCAGATTATGTGCTCTCTCACTCTCTCTCTCACCCCAGACAGATAGACTAGAATTGCCCTCGAGTGGAATAGTCCTTGTCCCCACCTTGAAAATTGTATTTTTTTTTTTTTTTTTTTTTTTTGGCATTGTAGCCCACCTCAATGTCTTTCAATTGCATTATAAATATTAGTTACTGTATAAAGTGATCGGGTTATTTTTCATCTATTGTTGGTATAAATCTGCTGCATTTCAATTTGAGCCCTGCATCTGATCATTAGCGATTTTATAGCACTCCCCATGGGAGATGTTGTTTCTTTAGTTAATGGAAATTTTGTACTTTGAACTTGTCATGATCTGCAGATTTTGAGTTTTGAGACAATTAATGGGCATCTAGGTATTGAACAGTTTTTCTCACAGCTCTCCTTTTCAATGATTTAATCTGTCTAGCTAAAGAAATAATAGATAAACATGTATAATTCAACCCTTAAGAGATATATGCAGGGTTATACTCAAGCTATTAGTAGAGGTATTTTTACTCATGATATCTGGTTTTAGTTGTTTCCATTGAAACCAATTATCCATATTGGGTTTGGTAACCAGATCTGGTCAGTCACTGAAGAATACATTTTGACTATTTGAAGATTATTGCTACCTGTGGTTTCTAGTGAGGGATGTTTTTTTTTTGTGTTTTTTAAAGTTTAATGTTTATGTAGAAACTTCTGTTGATATTTGATTTTTTTTTCAGGTGAGAGAGCAGGTGCCTTCACTGTGTTGTGTGCAGATGCTGATGAAGCAGCTCGTGTTATGTCACAGATTAAGATCCTCATCAGACCTATGTATTCTAATCCCCCTATCCATGGTGCCAGGATTGTCAAGAAAATCCTGACTACTCCAGACCTCAACAAACAATGGTAATGTACACTTTGTACTCTCACAGCATGCCTTGCATATTTATTTTCACAGAACGTAAATAAGTATTAAATGATCAGTATTTATATTATAGCAGTTTACCTATGCTGTCAAGGAGGTGGATGATGCATTAACAATTTTCTGAGTTATGCTACTTAACCACTAACTAGGGTGATAGTGGAGGAGATGTGATCATACCTTCCCCAAAAGTATTTGCACATAATTGAATCTAAAGAAGATGACTGGAATTTGAAAACAACTCTCAGATTTCTCTTTCTGAGTCGCTATCCATTACACTAATGGCACATCCATGTTGTCAAGAAATGTTTGCAATATTGAAGTAATTTTGTAATCTAGTTGTACTTTAAAGATTTAATGGATTTTATTTTAAATCTAACATTATTTCTTTTTTTTCTCCTTTCCTTTTCTCTAAATGTTATTTTAATTATTTTTATATAATTGTTTTATGTTTTTTTTTTTTTGTTTTTTTTTATTAAAAATAAAATCTAATTCCTTAAAAATTACTTTGTTTACATTTTGAATGTAGTGGTGTGGGGAAAGTCAGCAGATATGGACCTTCATGCAAATAAGGGCTTACTAGATGTGCTCTCTTTTAAAAATAGGTCATTGAACCTTGCTGGGCTGTGATGCTATCTCTAGCAAAGTAGTCTAAACCACACTGAATCAGATGGTGATTTCCCCTATAAAGGGGACACACAGGTTAGAACCCTGCCAGAGAAAACATTTCCTTTATTAAGTCTCAAGTGTGCAGACCAGTAGACATAATTTAAAAATAACATTTATAGCAACTAGTTGTATTTATTATATCTCAAGATAAGCCCTGAGGATGATGATAAACTACATCTGGCAGCAAGGCCTCTGATTGTGAGATTGGAGATTTTGATGAGCACGGTAGCATCTCTTAGGGCCCTAACTATAGGCAAAGGGTGAATCTCCAAACAAGTATTAAAACACTAGGAAAGTATAAAAATATATTATAGTAAAAATGCCAATTTTATAAAAAATTACCAACAATATATTTTCACAGCAAAATTGAAGAAATAAAATTTGCAATGATTAATCTCATTTCTTGTTAAGGAGAAATAAGTTTTTACTCCTCATTTGAATTTGTAAGATTATTTGGGGTGGGGGAGATGCAGCTAAGTAATTATAATTTAACAATTCTTGAATTAAGTTTGAATTTTAATATTTAAATTTCAGTATTAAATAGCCATATAGGTTGATATGCCACTAAAAAAAAACAACTAAACCAAAGAAATAGGTTTGTCTCAAAACATATAACACCTACAGTGGGTAATCTGCAAACTATATATCTATAAAGCATACATTTACCCTGAAATTATGTACAAAATATTTAGTTGAAGCCATAAAATTGCATTGAAAATAGATTTCTGCATTAAATAACTCTGAGGTTGATATGGAGTGAAACAACAAAACCAAATTTCAAAAACTTCTTGTTCAACTAGTGTTGTACCTCTAGAAACTGGAGGATTGGTATTTCTGTCTAGGTAAGAGTATATCTGAAATGTAAACAAACTATTTTTTAAAGAGTTAATAGATTTGATTTATAATCAGACATTATTTCTTATTACTATAGTTATATTTAGTCAATACACATGTTTAAGCAGACATTGTTGTTTTGTAAACTAAATTTACATTTACTAGCCTGTGCATTCAAGCATTAAACAAGTAATTTATACATTTCTTAGGGTGATTTTAATCTTGCTTTACTGTAAGCTTTATATGGCTGAGCAATCTAAAACACTCTAGTCTTTGTTTTCTCTTACAAGGACACTGGTTCAAACCCTGCAAGAAGACATTTTTTTCTTTAGTTTAAATATTGAAGGTTTTTTTTTTTTTTTTTTTCAAGTAAACACAACCTTTTTAATGATAGATTTGTTGGTTTGTACATGCATACTTCAGAAATTCTGCAGAACTCAAACAAAAACATTGTTTTCAATCGTTATGAGTCTACCGATTGAATAGAATTTTTCAATTTTATTATAAACAATTGTCTTGTAAATGGAATTTTTAAAGCATTCTGAATGTAAAAATAAAGAAAAAAGTGTGCAAGACAATAAGAAACACTACCTGCCAAAAAAAAGTGAAGTTTTGTTGAAATCGGTTGAAAGATGTAGGAAATCCGATCCCATATATAAACGAACACACAAACAACCTGGGTTTTATAATAAGTATAACTCGATATGAGTTGTCCTCCTTTCATTCTGGCGACAGTGATGCCTCTTAATTGTGTTTTCAAATTGATTTTGTGCAAAAACAATTGTTTTTCCAATTTTTGGCACTGTCAGAACCACCGCAAGGTAATTTTACATAGTCCTGTGAAGTTTTGTTGAAATCGGTTGAAAAATGTAGGAAATTCGATCCAATATATAAACGAACACACACACACACAACCTGGGTTTTATAATAAGTATGATTCAATTTAAAATGAAAACAAAAAATTCATTTTTTATTAATTTTTTTCTTCAGATAATATTGTCTTTAATATATATTATTCATAAAAGCAATTAAAAACTTCCCTAATTAAATAATGCCTTAGTTTTATTGCTTTTTTTTTTTTTTTTTTTTTTTTTGATTCAGGACTGATTTTGGTAAGATCAGGTCTGATTTTGCAAAAACAATTCCATGATTTAAATTCTTCAAAGAATTCTACTTTTAACTAGTATAGTCATTAAAAATTATCATGTTGAATTTCTCAAGTCTTCATAAAATTAAGGGGCTGAAATGTATTTAAAAAAAAAAAAAATAGATCCATCCATCCATTTCATTCATTTGTGAAGAAGTCCTGAAAATTTCATTAAAATCTGACAATTATTTGTTTTTTGCAAAAATTTCCAAATTAATGTCTGTCACCACAAAAAATTTGCTATGCTAAAAGTTAGTACAGCTGCTGATGCAAGAAAAACAAAAAGGTTCTAAAAAGGAGTTAAAAAAAAAAATAAAAAAATTAATTAAATAATCAAAAAATACTTTGATCCTTTCTCTTAATAATAACAAAGATTTTGAGGATAAAACTGTTTTGATCATTTTCATGTTTTTTTTTGTTTTGTTTTGTTTTTCTTCCTAGCATTTTTGTGGAGGTACCTAACTCTATACCAATTTCTCTCCACTTTTTTTTTTTTTTTTATAGTGCACACTTGCAAAATAACTAACATTTTGGGGTACGCTTTGAACCTGAGCAGCTGGTATACCAGCTGCTGTGTGTATGTGTATATACCAAACTTATCGGGTTTGGTTAGAGTTCAAAGGGTTAAGTTGTTTTTAAAAAGGAAATATTAGTTATGAAATTTGAAAATATGAAACTTTGGTTTAGCATTCTCAAAGAAGATTAACAGTACAGTTTTCATTTAAAGGGATTTATGAAGAATCTGCTTTGTTTTTTAGAGAGGCTGATAATGATTGATTTTAAATTTTCTGAAGGCAAAAAGGAAAGGATTATCCACTCCTTAAAGATTGAGAAATTTAGCATCCAGTTTAAAATTTCAAATGACAACGACTTAGACATGCTTTCTTTTTTTCTTTTTTTCTTTTTTTCTAGCTTTTTAAAAATAAAGATTTTTTTTTTACTTTTATTTATTTATTTTTTTTTTAAATAATTTTTAATTTACTCTTTAACTTGTGGTGCATCTGGCTATCTTTCAAGGTGAATTGGTTGAGAAATGCTGTTCTATACAGTTAAATCTATTGTCACCTATTATTTTACAATCCAAAAGAATTTTCTTGGTCATTATTATTACTTTAAATAATATCCAAAGAAAGTAAATGCAAAAACAATGTCTTATTGACCTCATTGTTGAGTTACCATAAACAACAGAAGTGTGACAAAGATAAACATATTAGTCATATTGTCTTTTAGATTATAAAATAGATTTTTTTTTTCTACTGTGATTGAAAGTTTGGATTTATTTAATAAAATCCAACTTGTCTTTATTTTTTGATGTCATGTCAGCTGTGATTGCTCTTTATAGATTCCTTTAATTTTTCTGTGAATTGCAATAACTTTTTAGGAAGAAAGTGGAGTGTTTTTTTTTTTTTTTTTTCCATTGTCTTTTCATTGTTGGCTGCCACATTAGGCCAGTCTACCCTGCTATTTAACCCATAGCTGTGGACTTGTGATATCAATCTTAATATAATTTTCCATGCATTTCTGTATATGCCTTCAGTATTTGTCAGGATACTATTATATAATCATTAATGGAAAAACGATATAGAAATTTTTATATATCAATAACAATTACAGGATTGGGTAACTATCATAAAGTGGAAAAAGACTTAATATGATGTTACATCCTTTAGGACTTTATCGGACTAAAGTGACATTTACATTGATGTGACTACACATGTGCATGGAGAAGAGGGGACACTGAATTAGTTTTGAAGTATTTGTTTATTTTCTTTTGTTTAATCAATTCTCACCTCAAACAAGGTGATAATGCCACTAAGATGCAAGGGGCTAATGGGAATGAAAGAACGAGAAAACTTTAGAAGGAACTGGAAACTCAATCTTAAACAGGAACAAGGGATAAACCTCTACTCCTGTTCAAAACACTGGGAGGAGTGTAAACTGGAAAAATCTTACTTGTGACCTCACTGGTTACATAAACAATTAGTAATTAATGTGAAGTAACTTTGATAGATTGGAAATCCACAGTGTATAAATAATGACCTCTTTAAAAAAAAAAATAAATAAAATAAAAAAGATACTTATGTATTAAAGAAAGTGTTGATTATGACAGGACATGCTTTTACCCCAGTCTCAATAATATAATCTTTCCAGGATTGTAAGATCTGCCCTGTCAACAGGGCCTAGAATATACTAACTGCGTAGGGGTAAGGATCTCCACCAAAAGTGGGGTACTTACCATGTTAATGCTTACAGACTTGAATATAAACAACCATTATTTACTTGTCCGTGAGCTAAATGTTCATCGACTTGAAAAAGTGATTTTGACATTAAATGACTTAAGAGGTTGATATGTTGTAAAATCAACCAGTCAGCCCAACTCAACCCCTCCTTAGACTAATCAGAGCACTCCAATAAAGGATCAGTGGGTTTAAAAATAATAATAATGTTAATTATTCTTGATGCTATATAAATATTTTGTTCTGAACAAGTTTTATTTTACTAGAGTAAAATTTGAATCTTTATCGGCCATAAATCTTCATGTGTTGAATGAAAAATAGGGCAAGCTGATATGCGAAAACATTCAGAAAATAAACATACACTATTAATTTTTTTTATTTTTTATTGGTATGCTGAGATCTATATAGATAAAGTGTTGATAAAGTGCCAGAACTTTTCAATCATTTCATTTCTTCCATTTCTGTTCATTTTACACTCTCATTTTTCATGAACTTTTTAAAACCTGGCATTTGTCTGCTTACAAAAAACAAAACAAATCATATTTCTTTGTTAAATGAAATATTTAAATGTTTGCTTCAAAATTTATGAATATGATTACCATATATTCTGTTTCTGACTCTGTTTTGCTAGAGATATACAATTTATTATGCAAAAACCTAAACCTATTTAAAAAAAAAAAAAATTAAACTGCCCAGGTTTGAGGCATGAAAATTATAGTAAACTTAATTATTTCAGTAAATATGGAACTGTAGCATGCAAACAAATTCAATAAAAATGTCCCAATCCTCTTCAAATCTAGAAGTCTTTAAATGCTTACAATTTTAATATTAGTTAATTCTGATCCACACTGGCAACTGATCTCAAAAATGACCTGACAATTTTTTTTAGCTTCAGAGTGCACTTTAAATGTTAATAAGAAAAATTAGTCATTGAATAAATTAGGTGGTAACCTCCCTTTGTTTGAAAAGCTCGCACACATAAGTGATAAAGCAAAGACCATACATATTGCATATTTCAATTTTGTACATTTTGCAGGTTGGGTGAAGTAAAAGGAATGGCTGACCGTATTATTAGCATGAGGGAGAAACTGGTGGCTGGCCTAAAGCGTGAGGGCTCCTCCCACAACTGGCAGCATGTCACTGACCAAATTGGAATGTTCTGCTTTACTGGACTCAAACCAGATCAGGTAGGTTGATTTAAAAATCGCTCTCAGGAAATTATGTATGCATATATGTATATGGGTGAATAGCCAAGTGGTGATTAGAATATTCATTTTCCAACCTTGAGACCCAGGTTCGAATTTCATCATGTTCAATTTGTCAGGAAGGTGACTTCTTGTTTTTGGTCTGGGCAGGCAATCTCATTGTGTAGCACTTTTAGAAAGTGCATGAAACCTCACCATGGGTTGTCCCAAGTTTTGTAAGTGAATTTAGGTAAGCAAGTGTTTGGAAACTGTTGATGGTTCTGCTAACACTGTCCTAAGTCATTGTGACAGAGGGTTTGAGTGTACTGGAATTGTTCAAACTGCTGGTCATGACAGATAATGCATTCTCACAGACTATAATTAAGGTCAGCTCAGCATAGGTGGGCTTTGTGGGTGTTGATTTAATTAAATCTTCCTGAGCAGGCATCTGCAACAGGGATTGGCTAATTACTCTAGCAGAGGGGTGTGCTCGGAAAATGAGTAGTTGGCTATTATATTTAACTTAGATTTTTCCTACATGTTAGGATTGATTTCAGTTAAGATGTATATATGATTTATGCAATATCTATTTAATGAATTAAATTAAAATAAAAACATCAGAAGATCAACAACAATTAACTATAAATTAAAAATTTAATATTTTATTTAATGTATTTGAGCTGGATATAAGTTGTTTGTTTTTTTTATTCACAAAAATGTGGCTGAAGAAAATCATCCTTTGTCTTTATATGTGATGTTGAGACCTGTAGAGTAAACTGCGCTAAACTAGTTTTTCCTTTGGTACTCATTTCTATCTAGTATAATTTCATGATATTTGCTTAAACAACATTATCAGTATTATTTTTACTAATACTGGTATTGTAAAAGCAATTGTTGTTTGTCTTATTACTATAATCATGAATATTTTCAGAATTGTGATTCCTGGTTTTATTTTCAACTATACTACCATCTTTAAAGATACTGCAATTATTTCTGGTATAATGCGATAATTGTAAGGTTTTGTAATGTACTGATAACTTGCTTTTAGGCATCTATTGTTTAAATGCACTTTAAATAAAAATTTACACATATGCTTTAATACACTAGAGACATTTCCCTGATTCTGCCCTGTTAGAATGAAGGAGTATCTAATATTCCTGTATCTCATTTCATGCTGTCAAATATGGTATTTTCTATCTTAATACTATACATAAATGACAACTTTATTTTCATAAGGATTTGCATTTCTTCCTCAGGTCAGTATATCTGTAATTCTTTCAAAATGTAACTCACAAAAATTACAAATAATGAGATTCATTATTTATTTACACTAGACTTTGAAAAGTATCCTTAGGAAGTCCAGTTTGACTATACACACATATATATATATATATATATATATATATATATATATATATATGCACACTGCTAGTGAAATATAAGGCCAATGAAAATTAAGAAAAAATATACCTTTTTTTTTTTTTTTTTTTGTTAGACTCAACTACTTACTTAAGTAGAGCTTTGAAAATAAAAGAAAAATTAAAAACTTATTTAATAGAAAAAAAATTGAATACTAGGAAATTAAACTAAATACTAGCTGGTCAAAAGTTCAAGACCATATTTAAATGGAGCTTTAAAACACGTAACAAAATTTACACATTTATGTTCAAGCATTAGCACAGTCAACATCTGCCAGTGTTATCTCCTGTGTTACATTAGGTAAAAATATAGCAATGGCTAAAAAGTTAAGTTTTAACGTGGCACAATTGTCAAGCTGCAAAAGCAAGGTCTCTCTCAATGTGCTGGTGAGGTTTTACATAGTAAAACTGCTGTTGCAAATTTCTTAAAAGACCCCGAGGAATAGGGAACTAGAATTTCAAGTGGTTTGCCCACGAAAATTTGGTCAGCATTGAGCAGGAGGATTTGGTATGTTGTCTGGCAAGATACCAGCTGATTGTCGGACCAGAATAAGGCCCTTATGGATGCAGAATTCAACTCTAGAACAATAAGATGGCATCTCTGAGAGAAAGGCTTTAAAAACCATAAATGTCTTCAGTTCATGATGCCTTCCACACCACAAAACAGTTTGGTTAATCTTTGATGAGAATCTTCAAACATGGGTACATAGAAAAGTGGAAGATGGTTTTGTTCTTGAGTGGGAAAAAAAAAATTAACCTAAAGGGTTCAGATGGCTTCTAATATTACTGACATAATAAAGGTATCCCACTAGAGATATTTTCTACATGACACGGTGGAGGAGGTTCCATAATAATCTAGGGTGCTTCTAAGGAACAACATAGCTTTAGTTTATACAGAGGTGTAAAACTGACATCTTGTTGGGCATTTCCTATTCTGTTTAGAACTTTTTAGTTATAGTCTTAGACTTTTGATCAGCTAGAATTTAGCTGTGTATTCAAATTTTCCCTATTAAATGCTAAAAACCTTTAATTTTTCTTTTTCTTATTTTCATTTTTCAAAGTGCTACTTAAGTGGTTGGGTCTAACAACACAAAAGGAATATTTTTCGTGTGTGTTTTAAAGAAAATGAGCCTGTTGCAGATGACAAATGAGGGCTCAGTAAAATAAAAAGGTTCCCAAATTCTATGGACAGGCATGGGTCTCCTGAGATCTGTAGGTATTTTGCAGACTTTTAAGTGTGTTATTCCATTTCAAATTGACCAATGGACAGAGTTGACTTCTCTCAGAAAAATATAGGAAAATTCACAGGTGTTCCTTGATCAAAATTCTATATAAATCCCAAATATTGTCTTTTAATAATTTTAAAATCAGAACATCTTGAAATTTCACTGCATTTTTTGTTTTGCTAAATAAGACTTTCAATGAACTTAGTCATAGCTCCAAGAATATTGTGTGTATAAATTTAAAACTTGATGACAATAGTTAGTTTTACTGTAGATTATAAAAATATAAACAACTTGGGTGTGTCTTTATATACTTTTATTTTTTATAAGGAACTGAAAAATAGCCAAACTTTGAGTATCAATAAAATTGCTTAAATGCTGTGGGTGTTGGTTGATTTGAGAGAGAATCACACACAAACACACGTGTGTGTGGGTTTTTCTAAATAACAAATAAAATGTTTATTAGAACTTTGTATCATCTGTCCAATAGAAAGGAATTGAAATTTTTGTTAAAATTTATTTGGTGAATCTGAGACTCTTGGCTACTATTTATTGAATTGAATTTTTTACTATTTATTTGAATCTTTTCTTTCAGGTGGAACGTATGACTAAAGAATTCTCTATCTACTTGACAAAGGATGGACGTATATCTGTTGCTGGAATTTCATCTGGAAATGTTGACTATCTTGCCCATGCTATTCATACAGTAACAAAATAAAATTAATTCATTTTTTATTAAGCGACATCAGTCAAAACAAAAATACTTAAAATAAAAAATGGTTACTGAAAAAATTAAATTCTGATCACACTTTACATAGAGTATTTTTTCTTGTATAAATTTTCCACATGGCTGGCAATAATTATCTATCTTTTTGTAGCAACCATTTTTACCAATGCTTAAAAAAGTACGAAAAATAGAACCATAGCGTAAGCACTGTTCAACTTTTATAGTCAACATCTGATAATTGTACAGTGGCCCACATATATTTTATGTTAAATTCATGTCGTCTCGGTACAGATGATATGTTGGGCATAAATTGTTAATGATTGAGTCTAAATGATTAAGAACTTTTTTTTTTTTTTTTAAATTTAAGTTAATTGACCTTCCATCTTTGTACAATCGATATACTACCTGAAAAATTAAAATATGTGACAAATTATCATTTTTTTCTTTTTTTTTTCTTTTTTTTTTTTTCTTGCTTATTGGCTGAATGTTTAAAAATTAAAATTTAATATTTTTCAAAGTAGTAGTAGTAGAAAAATTCTGCATAAATATGAGGTATCAAGCTATTGAAGGGTTTAAATTTAATTATTTTTTATGGATTAACCTTGTATATTTATTTATTTATTTTTTTTTTTTTTTTTGTAAGTGAATATTGCACTAATAATTTATTTTTTGGGAAGTTTTTGAGAACAACAATGATTTTTTGAGATGCAAGTTTTATTATTTAACCTATTCCTGAGGGGTGGGGAGACCTTTATACCTTTTGCAGGAAAGTCACTGTAACAAAGTAGATTTCAATCTTGGCTCTCTGATTTCTCATTCCTATCCATTACACTGCTCACACATCCACAAGCTATTAGAAGTTGATGCTTGTCATCCTTTAAAAGAAATGCTCATTCTTTTTCTACCAGTCTCTCACATTGTCTTAGGAACCCTTAATCATAAGCGTGTGTGTGTGTGTGTGTGTGTGTGTGTGTGTGTGTATGCATACATGATGATGATCCACCGCATCTTCACAGATGATGGCCGCCTAGTCATGTTTGCTCCCCACCTCGCACCTCTCTTGTGCATGACCCTGAAGATGATTTGCCAGGCCAGCTGCAGACTTTCATGACTTGCCACAGAAGTGACAGATGAACAAAGTACTTGCCACAACCTTGATGGATTCACACTGCTGTGCCCGATTCTTGTACGCCATTATGTGCCTTTTCAGTCCGAAGATAGTTTTACATATCTTGTCACACAGCATGCAAGCTGTGACACTCTGTGTCTGGGGAATATCAAGGGCAATTTTTTCTTTATGTAACTTCACCCAGCCAGCCTCTGAAAGAAGTATGCACTGACAGAAATCACATGTCCAGCCCTTGACATGATTATTGAGTCCATTGTTATCATTCATTCAAAGTCGCCGTTACAGGCCTTTGTGTTCCAGATGACATTCTTCAAAGAGTTGACAACCGTCTCTTATTTGCCCTTTCCATTCAGTTCTATCTAAGGCCATCTTCTCCCAATTGTTGATATTGAATGCCAACTTTTTAAGGTCGTTCTTGATACAGACCTTGTATCTTTTCCTTGGTTTGTGCTGAGGACACTTTCCTTTACTCAGCACACCATAAAACAATTGTTTTGGGAGTCTACGTTTCTTCATTCGAATTATGTGTCCTGTCCATCACATTTGGGAAGATGTTACAAAAGACTCTATGCATTGGTAGTTGGCTCTGACTAGGACATCGGTATCAGGAGTTCTGCTTTCCCATTTGACGTTCAACATGCCTCTCAGGCATTTCTGCTGAAAACGCTAAAGTATTTTTATATTTTTGCTGTGTAGTGTCCCGGTTTCGAAGGCGTATAGAAGAGCTATCAGAATGCAAGCTCTATACACACATACCTTAGTATGGTTGGTAATGTCACAAGAAGCTGTCCATACTCTCCTTTCCAGCTTCCAAGGGCCTTCTGGATGTGTTGGCATTTTGGCATCCAATGAGCCATCTTTTGTAATTGTGCTGCCAAGGTAAACAAACATCAACTACTCCTAATCTTGTTACATGAAAAAAGACATTAAGCTCGATATATGGCTCTCCAGGAACAGGAGTAAACATTACCTTGCTTTTTGTGAAGCTTATCGTAAGACCAAATGCTGCGCATGAGGGTGAGAAACAGTTCATAATATGCTGTATGTCAGCTTTTGTATGAGCTAAAAAGTCAACATCGTCTGTATAGAGTAGCTCTCTAATCAAAGCTTGGAATGTTTTTGACTTGGCCTTGAACCTTCTCAGATTGAAAATCCCTCCAGTGGTTCTGAAGTGCAAATGGATGCCTTGGAAAGCATGTGCAAGTAGAGCAGCAAAAAAGACAGAAAAGTGTGGGAGCAGGGATATCACCTTGCTTTACACCATTGTCAATAGGGATTTCCCCTGAGAGTTGTCTATTGAAAGTAACCCGGGCTCTCATATTTCTGTGCATCGACTTGACCATATCCACAAACCCTGGAGTATTATCCAGAGAGCATCCTGGCTAACAGTGTTGAAATCTTTCGTCAAATCAACAAATATGTGATAAAGGGGTATGTTCTGCTCAATACATTTCTCTTGAATCTGTTGTGCAGAGAAGATCATGTCAATTGTCCCACTTCGCCCCTAAAACCACTTTGTGATTCTGGGATAGCTACAGGATAGATATCTTCTTCCAGCCTATTAAGTAATATTCTCAAGAACCTTCCCAACAGCCTCCAACAAAGTGATACCTTGATAGTTATCACATATTAATTTTCACCTTTTCCTTTGTATAGGGAGAGCAGGATACCATTGACCAAGTCTTGTGGGACTGAGGTCCCATTCCAACAATCGATAATGAGATTTGTTATTATTTCCATAAAGTTTTGACTTCCAACCTTCAGTAATTTGACTAGAATGCATTTTAGACCAGGTGCTTTACTAGAGTTGATTTGTTTGATTGCCTGCCTGACTTCATGAAGAGTAGGTTGATGATCCATATGGTGTTCAGTGTCACACCGTGACAGGCTCTCTATAATGTTGTAATTGACAGAAGAAGGATTATCAAATAGATCTGGGAAATTCTCTTCCCATCGTTGAAGTATTTCTTCTGGTCCTTTGATGGTATTAGCATTGTCTTTTGCCTTCAGCGGGGTAATTGAGGATGTTGGTGGACCAAAGACTTGACGTATCAATGAATAGCATGATTTGTTGTCTTTAGTGTTGAAGACTTGTTGAATATCAGAGGCCATGTTTCTCCATCAATCATTTTTCATCCTGTGTAGTTCACATTGTAGGGTTAACTTGTGGTCCTTGTAAGCTTTTCTCAGCTGCTGGTGACTTTTTAAAATTCTGGTTAAGTAGCTTTTCATATAGTGTGTGCTTGGTTTCCAATAGCTGGGTGATCTGAATGTTCTTGTCATCAAACGAATCCTTGTTTCCTGATTCTGAAATGAAGTACTTTGGCCCCAACTGAATATATCTGGTTTCAAAACTTTTCCCAGGTACCGCCGAAGTCAAGGCTACTAAGTCTTTCCATCACAGTTGCACATACGTCTGCTCGCTTTAATTTAGTCACATCAATTTGTTTTGGTGCTTTCACTCCATCCATACAAATTCTCTTATGAATATGCAGCTTGAATTTTCCACACACCAATTTGTGGTCAATTCCACATTCTGTGCTATGCATCACATGCACTGAACACACATCACTTGAATCTTGTTTATGAATGATGATGTCTATCATGTGACCATGCTTGGGTTTCAGGTGAGACCATGTAGCTTTGTGTTTAATCTTTTGACGGAAAAATGTGTTGCAGATGTTTAAATCAAGTTCTGAACAAAGTTTGAGCAACCTCAATCCACTTGTATTCATTTTACCAATGTCGAAAAGGCCAATAGTGCCCCAAGTTTGGCAGTCTTTGCCTACATGGGCATTAAAATTTTCAAGGATTAGTAATTTATTGCCAGCAGGCGTAGTTGCTATAGTAGAGCAAAGACACTTGTAGTATGAATTGAGGACTTCCTCACTGGCCTGTAGGGTTTGTGCATAGATGGACAAGAGTGTTGCATGTTAATCATGTGTCAGTGGTATCCATATCTTCATAATTCTATCCTTCACACTAGAAGGAAATTCAATGTGATCAAGAAGAGATGTTCTGATGGCAAAGCCAACACCACCCTCCCTCTGTTTGGCTCTGGGTTTACCTACCCAGAAAATCGTGAAGACTGACGATACCTCATTTAGCTGATCCTCTCCTGCCAATCATGTCTCTGCCAGAGCTTCTATGTCTACGTTCAGTCGATGAAGTTCCTTTGTAACAAGAGTGGTTCTACACTCTGGATGTTCATATGAGTTTCTGTCTAAGAGAGTTCTGACAAATGTTGAATTTGACCCGATCCTCTGCATACATTTTCTGGTGTTCATTAATATTATTGTTGTTGTTCCAGCTTTTAGTGAACCACCATTAGCCGCAAGAGACTAACCAGTGTTGATATGACAGACAATTTTTGGCCCACCTTTTCTAGCGCCTTCCCACATATTTGGGTGAGTAGTGCTCTTTCTGAATGGGGCTGCTCAGTTGCAAAAGCCTCCACTGAATGGGTCCCTATCAAAATGAAGACCCGCAGTGATGTTAGGATAAGACTCTTGCTGCCAATGTCCAGATTTGTGACTGTGTGCGTCCAAATGGTTAAGTCTGCACATGTTACCCTTCATCCATCGCCATGGGCTTTTGGTTGAGGTGTATGAATAGAATGAGAGATGTCGCAAAGAGGCATCTGTATATCACTTGATTATAGTTGTTGTATTCGCCGATCGACACATAAACAACGTGGAGTAAATAAGTCAACAAAGAAGTAAAATGATTCGGTCTTACCGTGCAGTTTGTTGTTCTTTGTAAAATGGAGTTGAGATGAGTGACTGATGATTTCTGCTGCACTTAGAAAAGAGAGATGAAGATTGAGTCACACATAGAACATATGTTTATTTCATTAAGGCAT